TGCAATCATTTGTACTCTCTGGATAGCCTTTATGCCTCCTTACAGGCTGTTAAAGCATTTCTTCTGCTCTGTTTACCTGCCCTCCTTCTCTCCCAACCCCATCACTGAGGCGAGACTTGCCAAAGGTTAAACATTCACTCTGGCCTGGTAATCAAAAATCACTCAGCTTCCTTTTATAGGCCAAACTTCAGCAGAACCCTTGTCTCCACTAACAACAGTCTGCTGGGAAAGCATTTTAAATAATAAAAGAAAAAAAACTTCTAAGTCTTTGATACTAAATTTTATATGTAATTATTTTATTCCAATTTTTTTACTTGAAACTTGCTGATACTTATGTTTGCACTGCTAGTCTTATGATGTGTTTACTTCCAAAACCAAGAGGAGAGTCCCAAGTATAAATGAGGTCTATGAGGTTCCTCTCTGGCTTAAGCTACCTGACAAACTTAACACATACTCGCATGTACACACACGCACACACAGACCCAGGACTTCTATTATTGCATATTCCTCTAATTGAAGGTTTTTTTCTTAAGACTATTAATATACTTTAAAAATTTTTAAAGTCTCAACTTTATTGTATTAGAAAAACTACATTCAATATATCAATAAGTGGCTGGAGAAATGGCTACTTATTTAAGAGTGAACACTTCATGCTCTTTCAGAGGACCTGCATTTGGTCCCTGATACCCACATCCAGCAGCTCACAACCACATGGTAAATCCAGTTCTAAGGAATTCTTCTTTCTAACCTTCATGAGCCTAACAAGACACATACACTCTCTAAATAAGTAAACAATAAAAAAATTAATTTTAAATAATTTAAGGAATCAAAAAGTTGTTAAAATGTTTAACCAAACAAAAAAATTGCTGTAGAATTAATGATATCTTCATTCTAAATGATTAACAACTCCAATTTTAAAAGAAAGATAACAAAGAGATAAAATGAAAACAAATGTAAGAATTTTGCCAAATAAGGCAACAAAGATGCAAACTAAAAAACCTGAAAAGAGACCATTACTATAATTAATAATCACAAGTGGCTGAATACAAACCAGAATGAATTGGTCTCACTGTAACAGAAGGAAAAGGACACACAATTCCAAACATCCTTCTCCAGAAACTGCGTCCAAATATAATAGTGAAAATTGTAAGCAAATTGAGAGAATACCTGGCCACAGCAACTCCCAAAGAACATCAGAACAATACATTCACTGCTATGTTAAAATAATCTAAACGTAATAAATGTTTCTTCTGCTTCATTAGAACAACACAGCTTGTCTCCATTCCTGGGACCTTGGTCCAAGAGGAAGAAGTCACTAAAATTTTGTCTGCTCCAAGGAAATCACCATGCTCTGTAGCCAAGAGCAGGCCACTACTTTCTAAAGCCAGGGAACCTTCCTTCAAACTACACACAACAAAGACATAGTTACATTTCTAACAGCTACTTCTAAGTCAAACTGAAACAGACTTTGTAACTAAAACAATTCCCACCTTAGAAAGCTTCACACTGCTTGTAGAAACCACAGTACATTATTTCACTCACATTTTTATCAAAATTCCATACAGCATCAACTAGCTATTCTCCTTTATCTGATCATTCCACTGCAGATTCAATCAACTGCAGATGCAAATACGAAAGGAAGGAGAGTTCACCCTTACTAAACATTTACAAACCTCTTTTGGTGACTATTCCCTGAAGGATACAGTGTTAACGACTATTCGCACAGTAGGGAGAGCGCAATAGGTATTGGAAGTACTGTACAGACAACTCAAACAATGACAGAGGTTAGTGTACAGGTTAGATACAAACACTACCCCAACCTTATAAGGTGCCAGAGAAGTTAAGGGTGGGATGGGGACAATCCTCTGGGGACAATCCTCTGTGGACACCAGCAGCTCTACTAGGTTTGCTACACAGTAAGCCTCCCTGTTGGTACTTTGTTGAGCACTGTCATCTTTGCTGTTCTCTTTTAGGTGTGATCAAGATTTAGAAGGTTGCTGACTGTTCATCACAACTCTAAACACAAAAATAGTTTTCTAGTAGTTGCCCTTCAGAACAACAAATACCCTGCAATCACCTCCTCACTGTCTCATTACTAAGTGCTACATGGCTTCTAAAGCTTAATTATCTTTAAATTTGGCCTAAATATACATCACATGGAGAAGATAGTCAAAGACATTTCTTGTGTGTGGTACTAACAATGAAACTCAGACCTTCTCACACAGTAAGCAAGCACTCTATCACTGAGCTACATCCCCCCTCAGACGGGGTCTCACTGAATCTTTGAACTTAAGATCGTCCTGCCTCAGGCCCTGAGTAACTGGGGGCTACCATTAGCTATGCCACTAGATCCAACTAACAGCATTTCTTTCCTACTGAGAAATTTACCGGACACCTAAACACAGAAAGGGAACAAAAACTCTCATTTCTAGAGCCCACATCAGGCTAAACATTTGAATCTTCAAGTGCAGCATCATTCCACTGAGCTGCTTGTACAGGAGAAGGGGGAGAACCAGCAATCACTTCCCTCTAAGTGGACTAGAGTTCCATATCCAGATATTAATAAGCTCACAAACAAGAGAAAGCAGTACACAGAGGAAAGAGAAAGAGGGAAAAAGCCAAGGTTGTTTGGAGTCCCAGAAAGGTTTTTCTGTAGCTTTTCAGAACTTGGCTTTACAAACTTTTTTTTCTTTTTAAAGATTTATTTTTTATATAGCATTCTGCCTGCCATCTGTGCCTGCTCACCAGAAGAGGGCACAAGATCTCACTATAGATAGCTATGAGCCACCATGTGGTTGCTGGGAACTGAACTCAGGACCTTTGGAAGAACAGCCTGTGCTCTTAACTTCTGAGCCATCTCTCCAGCCCCACAAACTATTTTCTTAGGCTAATGAAAAATTCACCCAAGCCGGGTGCCTTTAATCCCAGCACTCTGAGAGGCAAAGGCAGGCGGATCTCTGTGAATTCGAGGTCAGCAGACTCCAAGACAGCCAAGGCTATAGAGAGAAACCCTGTGTCAAAGAAAACAAAACAAAACAAAACAAAACAAACAAACAAAAACCGAAAAACTCATTCCTCAAATGGCTGGAATTCCACCAAAATATCAATCACAGCACCCAGAGACCATCTATGAAGCGCGCCTCTACAGGGAGTAGCCCACATGCACACTGTAGGTAACTGTCCCAGGGAGTCTGAACAAACTTTTTAACCTGGAGAAGAAATGTCCCAACTGCTGTACTTTTAAGGCGCACTCACTTAAAACTCTCCAAGACTATCACTGTTTAATAGTCAATTTAAAATACCTTCAGTATCACTTTTAAAAGTTCCCTTTTTTTTTTCCCCAAATGGAAGGGGTATCGTATCGTTTACATATGAAAAATCCATACTTTTCAGTGTCCAATTCTGATTTTATATTTTTGTGTGTTTTCAAAAGGATCTCCATCCGTAGCTCTGACAGGACTGGAACTCACGATCCCCTGGCCTCGGCCTTCCCGGCGACAGTTCTGTTACATTCATTCCTAAAAAGACAGCTCTCCTGAGGGTCTGCAAGGTAAAATGACTGTCAACATCCTGTTCAAGCGCTTTTACTTCGGAAACACTGCGTTTGTTTAGAAATGGAATACGGCGTGCCACAAGTCATCGTCAACGCGTGCACACTTCTGAAACGCTCCAACGTCCTCAACACGACGCGGCGGGGATGAGGGCCCCCCGCAGCCAGTGGCGCACCTCACTAATCAGCTCCTTCTCCAAGAGGGGCCACCAAGCAGAAGAGGCAGAGTTGCATCCCAGGGCTGGAGACCCGAGAAGGAAGAGTTGAAAGCCGGAATGGCAAACTCCAAGAACACTGAACGCTTCTCCCTCTCGGCTCGCTCGTCGCGTGTGGACCTCGGCCAGGGGCGCGTGGGAAGAAACATGACCTATTTTCTACGCCCGCCTGGGCGAGCGGGCAGTGGAGGACAAGGCGGCGGGGGCCGGGCTCCCGGTGGGCAAACGAGAGCGCAGCGGGGAGAGGCGCCTGGCCCCACGCCGCGTGCGCCCGCCGCCGGAGGAAGGAAACCGCGGCTGCAGTCCGCCGCACGCAGTCCCAGCGCCCCGCGCGCGTCCCGGGGCCCGGCCGCACCCGAGGGCGGCGCCCAGGCCGCGCCCTGCACCTGCCGCCTGCCCCGGTCCCGGGGGCTAAGGGAGGCTGCAGACCCGCGCGAGCGTCCCCTCGGACGCGGGCCGCCCGGGCCTCTGCGCCCGCGGCCGCCTGGGCCCGGAGAGCTCGGCCGTGGCGGTCCACCGCAGCTCGGCGCCCGCCAGGCCCGCCTCACGGCGTCCAGAGCGATCGAACCCCGTCCCCTCGGCCCGAGGGAGCCCGCCGCCCGCACTCACCTGACCGCTTCGCCTACGCGCAGCGGCGGCGCCACACTCCGGCCGGGACCCCACCGTCCGCCTCAACCAACCCCCAGGAGGCGGCGGCGGTGGCGGCGGCGGCGGCCGGACGGGAGGGGCGGGACGGCGGCCAGAGACAGCCCCGCCGCCCAGGCCCAACCCGGCTCCGCCTGCCCCTGGGCCCCGCCCACGGACCGCCGCCGCCGCCGCCGCTGCCGTTCATTGGCCCGCACCTCACACGCCTCAGCGCGGCCCCGCCCCGCCGACCGGCCGCCCTTCAGGGAGGCTACTGCTCAGTCATTGGACGGTGGCAACGGGGGCGGAGCCAGATCCGAGGACGCTATTGGTTAGATCTCGCCCACGGTGGCGCTGTGATTGAACGACAGGAGCCCTGGCTCCGCCTCCACGCCCAAGTTCCGTTAACAGGTTCGGTTGCTCCCGAACACCATTTCGCCAAAGGGGCGGGGCGAATGGGAGGTGGTTTCCCCTCCCCCTCCAGACCGCAGTCCACAGGGCCGCAGGGTGGGTGGAGAGAGGTAACCATAGGCTTGGTACTCTTTTTTTTTTTTTTTTGAGCTTTACTCTCTTCTAATTGGTTGAGGCTACCTGATTCTCGCCGCCCCTCCAGTCGCTTATGAACGTCACGAGACGCGGGGTGATGACGTAGTCCCCGAGCGTCTACATCCAAGATGGCTGCCGTCAGGAAGGAGAGACGTCGCTAAGGGGTTTGCCTGAGGCGAGGGGTGAGTATCTAATCTGACTGTAGGCAGCGCCGCTCACCTTCCGCGCACCTGGTGGTCCGAGTAGGATATATTCTAAATGCCTGGGTTCCCTGGCAGAGTCTCACTTCCCGGATTCCGGCGCCCTTCTTCCTCTAAACCTCTGTTGAAGTTAGGAAGCGACACTGGGTTAGAAGCGGTGGACCTTCGGGAGAGGCTCTGCTGCTCTGGGGCGCGCCACTAACGCCAAGAACGGGTAGCCTACCTCCCAGAGGAAGATGGTTGCCTTTGGGGGTCTTCTAGCAGGTGAGGAAAGGGAAAGGGGGCTTACACGCACATACCCTGCTGCAGACTGACCCGGGCATCTCTACTTTCTGTTGGCTTGTAGAGCCCTCTGTAAATGAGGATTGAGACCTTGTACAGTTTTCATGACTATTGGACCGTGGAACAAGGTAGTACCAGGGATGAAAAAAGGCACTTCCTCGGTAAGATTCGTTCTTACCCAGACACCATCCAGTCCTGAGTGATAGGTTTGGCTTGTTTTCAGGGGACTTGATCTTTGGTAAGTTCAGAAACACATCTATATGTTTATCTGAAAACTTTTTAAACAGTTTAACCTGCGTAAATACTTGGTGGTGTTCTTTGGACTGTCAGTAAAACGGAGCGCTCCGTAAACCATCCAGTGTTTTAGATCAGTTTCTCCAGACTGGCTTTTTTTAAGTTTTGTTTGTTTTTTCGAGACAGGGTTTTTCTGTGCAGCCTTGGCTGCCCTGGACTCGCCTTGTAGACCAGGCACACAGAGATCTGCCTGCCTATGCCTCCCCGAGTGCTGGGATTACAGGGGTGAGCCACCTTTTTTTTTTTTTTTTTTTTATGACAAGGTTTTCCTATATACCCTAGCTGGTGTGGAGCTCTCTTGATAAACTAAGCTGGCTTCTGCCTCAAAGAGATCCTTCTGTCTCTGCCTCCAAAGTACTGAGGTTGAAAAGGCATGTGCCAGGAGTCTGAGCTAAAGACTGGCTTTTATGTTTTTAAGACAAACTTGACTCTGGCGATATCTTGATATATACTGTTATTTAAAGAATAATTGAGCAGCATCTTAGGATTGTGGGCATGCATTCCAGGTTTCTATGAATGATTCCATGAAAGTGTAGGGATTTCAAGACCCAATATCTAGAACATTATATGACACTTAGTAAACTATATTGCTGAATGATTCATAATAGATGGGTGATGGCCATAGTAATGTTGATAAACATTTTGATTAAAGTTGTTAGTGTTAGCTGAGTGGTGGCACGCTAATCCCAGCACGCAGGAGGCAGAAGCAGGCGATTCTCTGTGAGCTCAAGGCCAGCCTCGTCTATAGAACAAGTTCCAGAGTTCCAGGACAAGCAAAACTATACAGAGAAACCCAGTCCCCACAAACCAGAGGAACATGGCAGGGCAGAAGAAAGTTGCCAAGATCCTTGTTTGCTAAATAATTGACAATACAATAATTACCTGTGGTGAGTAGAATTTGTTTTAGAGGTTTTCTCCTTTTGTCTGATATTCACGTGTTTCGATGTACTATGCAAGCATGTTATTAGTTAATCATATTGACAGAAAGTGAGTAATCTTGTTTAAGGAGACGGTGCTTGAATGCAGTAAGCCCACTGAATATGTAAAAAGAAAAGTGTTCTCTGCTTGTGTTATTTAAATATGGGTAGGGAGGGTCAGGAGGAATTAAATTCAAACAGATTGAAGAGTTGTTAACCAATACCTAGTTGGGTTAAATCTAATTCATATTCTTAAAAGTCAGATAAATTGCACAGCATTTACATTGCAGAGTGGCTTAAATGCGCCTTCATTGTTCAGGGCTTGTAAGACGCCCTGCAGTGGTGGGGGACTCCAGCAGACGCTGGTGGGCATCTGGAGTTCTCTTGGAGCACAGATGGGTCATCTTTTGATACAACAGCTGAGTAATAAACAGACCTCACACAGAAAAAAGCTGAGCAATATACATTACAGATTTCTCTTTGTTAAAGGCTAAAATAGGCCTAGAGAGACGACTTAGCAGCGAAGAGTTACTTGCTTGCTGTTCTTTCAGAACCCATGAGCTTCATTCCTGAACACCCATGACAGGCAGTTCCTGGCAGCCTATAATCCCAGCCACAGAGAATCCATTACCCTCTACTGGCACCTGTATGCATATGTCAGACATAGGCACACATGCACATAAATTTAAAAAAAAAAATGTTTCTAAAACTGTATATCAAAAAGTCGAACTAGAGAGACAGCTCTGTGCATAAAGCATTAAAGCATTTCCTTTTTGGTTTTTCCAGGCAGGGTTTCTCTGTGTAGCATCCTGGAACTCCTGTGTAAACCAGGCTGGTCTCAAGATTCACAGAGACCCACCTGCCTCTGCCTCCCCCAGTGCTGGAATTAAAACACATGTGCCAACACTGCCTGGCTCTAGTAAAGCGTTTTCTATACAAGCACAAAGACGAGAGTTCAGACCCCTAACACCCATATAGAATACTGGGACTCATGGTTCACTGTAACTTCAGTGCTACGAGACAGGTGAATCCTGCTGCATCACCAGCGGGCCTGCCCAGCTAGCTGAAACTGTCTTCCAGGTTCAGTGAGAAACACTGTCTCAAAAAGTAAGATTGAGAGGCTGGAGAGATGGCTCAGTGGTTAAGAGCACTGTTTGTTCTTCCTAAGGACCCAAGTTCAATTCCCAACACCCACATGGCAGCTCACAACTGTCTGTAACTCCAGACCTGACACCCTCACACCAATGCAAATAAAATAAAGAAAATTACCTAAATTTAAAAAATAAACAAAACAAAAGATAAGATGGAAGATGATATCCTCATGTCATCCTCTGGCCTCTACGTATACCCACACAGGAGACCATACCCTCACACAAGTACATTCACCCAGAGTTTGTTCCACTGTAAATAGAGGGCTGCTGGACATAAGTTCCATTAGGTTTCATTTGGTCATAAAATAGTCTGTATCCTGGTAGGCACAAGGCACACGTGTATGCTAAGTAGGATGCAGTTGTATAGTGATAAGAATGTGCTTTTGTTTTAATCCAAGGTGAAAGGATATGGGACTGCTTCACAGAAGCTGACTATGATTTGCCTTGTGCTCTAGCAGAAGCATGGTTTTGCCAGCTACAGATAATTTCTGCAATCCTGTGACGTTTAGAATTCTGGGAACTTTTCAGAGAGTACATAAATGTGACAGCCCCAAGAGGCGGGGTCAGTGCTTGGTGGTCATTTAGGGAGGTTGGTTGCAGTTCGTTGGTAGCTGTGGTCAAAGACAAAACTAAAGGAAAGAAATTAGATTCAAGGGTTTTCCTAATTCCATTCTCCCCTCTATCCTTGTTTTTCTCCTATCTAGTTTTAAGGGGTGAAACCTTGGGGATAAAGGGCAGAAAAAAGGACCCACAAAGTAACAGAGACCTGTTACACAGACTGGTTTCTGTTCATATTACTAACCCAGACTTGTTGATTGACAGGTTGATGTTGACCTGAAGAAAAATCTTCTGAGGTAAGCTGTGGGGCTCTGATCTGTCCTTACTCTGATTACTATTTGAATCACAAAGTATCTAAGACCCATGGTTACCCCTCCTAGAGCAGTGCCTCCAAGTTAAGACTGTGAACTGGGAGTTGGAGAGCTGGCTCAGTGCTTAAGAGTACTGCCTGAGCTTCCAGATGACTCAGGTTCAGTTTTTAGCCCCCACATAGTGGCTCACAAATGTGTGAAACTCTAATCCCAGGGGATCTGACACCCTCTTCTGACCTCCAAAAGTAACATGCATACACATTGTATACAGACAAAGATGCAGACAAAAACACCCATGCACGTTGAAAATAAAAAATAAAAACCTTTCTATGGAATGTAGGTATTAAAAGAAAAGAAAAAATGTATATTTCTTTTTCAGAAGATTCAAGTTTGGTTCCCAGCACCCAGGTCAAGTGGCTCATAACCACCTGTTAACTCTGGCCTCTGCTGGCACCTGCACATACCTACACACAGACACAGATACATAATTTAAAATATTTTTTAAAAGAATTGTGCTTCTTGAGTTAATCAGTGTACACAGACCATGTAGTAAAGACAAGTAGCATGCTAGGTGACACTGAGATTTTCTTTTTCTATGCAGTGCTAAAAGTTGACTCTAGGTCCTTTGCATGCTAGACACTCTACCAACTAGCTGCATCCTTAGCTCCACAGAGTTGTGAAGGCAGAGAGTAGACCCACCCTGACAACGTGTGGCTTCCTGAAAATGGTTACATTTACAGATTCTCAGCTGCTGTAAAACGGAGACCTGTCTTAGCAACAGTACTCCACAATGCAATTTATAGAGACAAAGAAGTATGCAGATTAGGAAGTGCAGTATCTTAGGCAAGAGTCGGCAACTCAGGCCTCTGCCTAATCTATCTGCTAACTCTGCATGCTCTTTATTGTCTTTTTGGCTCCATTAACTTCAAATTCTCAGTGATAAATTCTGAGACTAAGAAAACATTGGTTGGCATGGTTACTGAAAATTTTTGAACTGTGACCTACAAAGGGTCTAGATCATAGCTTCATAGCCAACCAACTGTTAACTCAAACACCACCACTACCCTCCCTCTTTCACACACACAGACACTTAAATTTTGAAATTAAATTAAAAATATACAATAAAGTAACATAAGAGATTTAAAACAAACAAACAAAAGCCAGGTATGACACACACCTTTAATCTCAGAGAGGAGGCAGAGACAGGTGATCTCTCTGAGTTGGAGTCCAGCCTGGTCTACATAGTGAGCTCTAGTATAACCAGGACCATGTTGTCTTTTGAGACAGAGGGAGGGAGGGAGGGAGGAAGGGAGGAAGGAAAATATTGTGCAAAATATGGTGGTGCACACTTATAATCCGAGCACTTGGAAGACCAAAACAAGAAGACTGAGTTCTGGACCAGCCTAGGCTACATAGTTATCTCCAAGCCAGAAGACTATAAGAATTATGGGAACACCAGTTTTTGATTCTCAGCTGTGTACAAGCTGCCTTCTAAACTAAAGTCTCATTAATGAATGAAGGCTAGTGAGTACCCAGTAGGTACTGTTGATAGGCACACTGTTAGGCACACTGTTGATAGGAAATGTGGCTGGTGACATCAAGATACTATAGACCTGAATGAGTATGGTTTTTCCACATATGCTGTGAGATCTTTCCAGCCTCATCTCCCCACTGGCTTATCTCCCCGCCCCATTCTGCCCTATTCAAGCTGCTTCTCACAGATGTGGGGCTGCTCCAAGAGCCTCTTTCAGGAGCCACTTCCTCCCCTTTTCTCCAGCTTTCCCTTTCCTCTCAGGGAAAGTGATTCCTTTTAGTGTTGAGATTCACATTCTTTCTCTCTCTCTTTCTCCCTCTCTCTCTCTTTCTCCCTCCTTCTCCCTCTCCCTCCTCTTCCCTCCCTCCCTTCCTCCCTTCCTCCCTCCCTCCCTCCCTCCCTCCTAGGAGGGGCTGTGAAGAGCTTCTGGAGGTAGCAGGTCCTGAGAGTCACCAGCACTGCACTTTTCCTCTTGTATGCTGTACTTCAGTTTGAGTGGTTTGACTTCTCAGCCACTGCACACACATCACAGGTGTTCCTTAGCTAGTGTAAGGGCTCCTCCTGGCCCCCTAAGTATTCAACAGATTCCTCCCTGACTTAGGATTGTATCAGAGACTTGCAGCAGGACTACTTGTTAACTCCGATCAGCATTGAACAAGTGTGGATGTTTTGCTTTGGTGGCTATATGTTTGTGTTTTAACCAAACAGAAAGTGTGTTGTATGGCACTTCCCCTGAAGCACTTTGGCTGCGTGCCTCTGGATTACAGTAGAGTGAAAATGTCTTATTCTAAGAAATAGCAAAAATTCTCTATTATCCTCTATACACAGTCTGTATTTTAAATTTCCCTAAATGTTCAAATCGTGTTTCTTGTCAAACACCCTCACCTTGTGCCACTTAACTTGCTCCCACCATCACCACCACTTACTCTGAGTTACAAGTTGGGTCTAATGGCATGGTCAGATACAGGTGATGCCTAGAGGGCAAGGATACGATGTAGGTAGACAGGTGTATTTATTGAGTCTTGCATCCCATCACAAAGTGCACAGGGCAAGATCAATATTCTAGATAAAGATATATACTGGTGGTGTTCTTTGTTTATTTTACAGACAGTGTTATGTGTACGTGTGTTTGCCTTGAATGTATGTCTGTGCACCAAATGCCTGCAGTGCCCAAAGAGGCCAGAAGAGGGCTTTGAATCCCCTGGAACTATATAGACAATTGTGAGCCACCATGTGAGTGCTGGGACTTGAATCCCGGTCTTCTAGATCAACAGCTAGTGGTCTTAACCACTGAGCCATCTCTCCAGATCCTGTTTTTCTTTTTTAATGTTCATGAGTTGCCCTTGTAAATGACCGGGCCATGAATAATCCTGTGCATATGTGTACATATTTGGGATGGTGTCTTTAGGAAGAGTCCTAGCAGTGGGACTGAGGTCAAAGAGCAAATGGGTATGTCATTTGTTGGATATTGCCAACTTCCTCTCTGTAATACTTGTACCATTTTGCACTCAGACCAGCATCTTAGGAGACCACTAGCTTATCCCAGCCTTGCCAGCAGTAAATTGTTAAACTTTTGGATTTTTTTCCAGTTGAGAAGGTGAGAAGAGTGTTTCGGTATGATGGCTTCAGAAGTTTTCTTAGCTCTGTTGCTAGGTCACCAATCAGTTCCACACTAACATGTGAATTAGATGCAGTCTCCATCTGCTCAATTCTTCCTGCTGGGGCAAAGATTAGAGTCCTTTTTGAACAGCCAGATGCTGGGAGCAGAATGTTCTGCCCCACATGTCAGCTTTCCCACCAGCAATGAGAGAAGCCCTGAAGAAGGTAGGCCTCTGGACAGGATGGGGATCTCTGACCTAGGCCTGAAATTTGGTTTTTGCTCACTTAACTGCCTGACTCTACCACTTGTTTGGGACTCATCTGCTGCCAGGTGAAAATGTTGCTTCTGAGCTACTTTACCAGGCGGTGACTTGTGGTGGCCTGGTTTCTATTCCCTGTCAGCCTGGAACTTTTAGAGGGTCTGAGTGGAGAGAAACTAAAAAGATCTAAAGGGGATGCCTCCTCTTGGACCACTTCCTACCCACTCCCCACAGCACTATAGCCACACTGGCCAGAGACTGGTATAGGTGAGAGTTAAACCATCCTGTGACATTTATAAGTGAAATCAAAGTAAAAACCAGGAAATCTGTTGAGGAGGTGCTAATGGTAGAGATGGGCACGATGGGATCAGGACATGGGATATCAAACAGGTACAGGTTATACTGAAGAATGGAGTCTAAACCAGAAGCAGAGGCTGGAAGGAAGGAAGCAGAGTGTACTTAATTTCTTCCAAAATTATATTTCACTTTAATCCTTTAGACTGCAGGGTATGGAACGCCGTCCTAAATTACTGTTCACTCAGACTTATTAGTATTGGAGTCAATTATGATGTGTCGAATTGGCTTTGGAGCGGGTACCCTGAACTTCTAACCAGCAATCAGTAGCATAAGGGGGTGAGGGGTTTTATATCAGCCATGTTCTGTGGTTGTGGATGATTTATGATTAAAATAATTAGTAGCGTGGCATCCTTCACAATTCACATCTTTTTTTCTTTTTAGGATTGCAACATTCCAGAAGCCCTTTGGGGAAGATTAAGGCTACTTCAATAAATGAAGGAGAACAAAGAAAATTCAAGCCCTTCAGTCGCATCAGCAAACCTGGACCACACAAAACCATGTTGGTACTGGGATAAGAAGGACTTGGCACATACACCCTCACAACTTGAAGGACTTGATCCAGCCACTGAGGCCCGGTACCGCCGAGAGGGGGCTCGCTTCATCTTTGATGTGGGCACACGTTTGGGGTTGTATCCTGAATCTGTGGGATTTATTGTGAATAAGCTTCCACCACCAAGAATTAGATTAGCTGCCATAGACAAAGGTGCAACCATTTGTCTGCGCTAGCACAGATCTTAGAACCTTCGAGGTCGGAGTTGTCTAAAAGGCTGTTCAGAGGATTCTTCTGTCTCTGGTTTATCATTTAAATATATAGACTCCACTGTGGGGCAAATGGCTACCCAGGAAGAAACCAGCCCCATTAAGATCACAGCTCAAGCTGAGCTGGTAGGGTGGAGGGGGACACACCTTTAATCTGAGCACTCAGGGAGGCAGAAGCAAGTGAATCTTTGAATTTGAGTCCAGTCCTGGTTCCAGGACAGCTAGAGCTGCACAGAAACCCTGACTCAGAGAAGAAGGAAAAAAAAAAAAAAAATCACAGTGCAAGTTTGGCAGGACTTATTCTGACGCGAAAATTCTGATTCACTGATTCCCATCTGTTTACTTGATAGCTAATTTTGTTGTTGATGTCTGTCTTTATTGCCTTTCTGAGTTCGCTAAAAGCATAATTTGTAGCCATTTCTAGCCGGACCCTTAACCAGAACAACAGACACTATGACACTCTGGCAACTGGAATCATTTATTTTCATCGATTCTATATGTTTCATTCCTTCAAGCAGTTCCCAAGATACGTAAGTAAACTCTGACATGCTTTTACCTCCATTTGCTAGAGATGGTAGCCAGTGGGTCTTTCTATCTTATTTTCCAGAAAGTGTTTGTTTTTAGGTGGTACATGCCTCTGCATCCTGAGTGCTGGGATTAAAGACGTGTACTACCACACCCAGCTAATTTTGTTTTTTCTAATTAACCTTGTTGAAATCTTTTGTGTGGGCCAGTATGGGTCACGGCCATCTTATACTTTATGTAACAGTTTACTTGTTTGTTTTCTTTCCCAGGGTAAACTTGGGTTTAAGTCGGGCCATAACTGAGTTGTACAGACAGGGCTTTGATACTCAAGGGGAATATTAATTCTATCTAGGAAGCAGACCATGCAAGGGAAGAAGTGCCAGAGAAAGCCAGGTTTCCAAAGTACAGGGACTGAAACGGGCTAGGACAGTAGTCTAAAAGAAACAACATGAGCAGATGCAGAAGGAGGCATACAGCATGGTGGCCAGTCAGCCAGGAGCTCCCCTTGCTAGCTAGTAGTGCTTGCTGCTCTTACAGAGGACCCCATTTCAATTCCCAGCACCTGTAATTCCAGTTTCAGGGGCTGTGACACTCTCTTCTGGCACTTGCATCCGTGTGTTACACATACAAACATGCAGACAAAATACTGATACATTAAAATAAAAATCATTAAAAAAAAAAAAAGACCCTGGGTGGGAAGGTGGACCAATAATCTATCAGACCATGGTAAGCCATTAATGCCTGTTTTCCTTATTGGCTTGGGGGTTCTTTAAGGAGGCATTGTCAATGTTGCTTCAATCAATGCAGAGTGTCTAACTCCAGTGCAATCGGAGTTAGCATTTTGTGTTGATTTGAAGGGACCCAGAAGCAACTGGAAAGACTTTGGCTGTGTCCTTTGTGTTGTTGTGACAGAATACTTTAGACTACCTAACTTAAAACAGAAAAGTAATTCCTCTCAGTCCTGGAAGTCAGAAGTGCAAGATCAAGGTGCTGACAGATGGAGTTTTTGCTAAGAGCCCGTTCTTCATAGAAAGTGTGCCTTTCTGCTGTGTCCTTCAGGCCTTTTTCAGAACAGCAGTAGTTCTACGCTTCTGGGGATTAGTTTCAACATATAAATTGGGGAGCAGAGCAGGATGCACACTTTAGATCACAGCAGGAAGGAAAGCAAGGGTGGCCTTGACTGACTAAACTTGCTGTTTGCAGAGTAGGCTCTTCCATCTGGAGCATGGAAGGATTGGTCCCAGGACTTTTGTTCCTTTGCCTGTTTTCTTCATCTTATGACAGTTATCTTCAAAACACCATTTTTCTTCCTCTGTTGAAGGCCAGGGACTCAGACCCAGGGTGCCATGCATACTAGGCAAGTACTGTACTAATGAAGCACTAGTTTACAAAGCCACTTATTTTTTTGGGATGTAACATGTGCTTTGGGCTTTTAGAGTATTAAGATGTTTGTAGTGAGCTGAGGATAGGAGACTGAGGCCTAGCTAACTGTAAAGGTCAAAACGGTCTCATGTTGTCCCCATGAGATCTCTGCTAATAAGAGTATTAATTCCTTTTTTAGGTGACAGGAGCTTGTTGTCTCTTTCTGGCTGGGAAAGTAGAGGAAACGCCAAAAAAATGTAAAGATATCATCAAAACAGCTCGTAGTTTGTTAAATGATGTCCAGTTCGGCCAATTTGGAGATGACCCAAAGGTAAGAACCCTAATTTCTTGCCTTCAGATCTTAACAACTGGAGTGCTGGCAAGAGCTCTAGATACTGTGCCTACCAGTTCTTGGGATCTTAAGATCCCAAGGCTTTTATGGAAAAGCCTTCCTGGCTTTGTGAGGGGAAATCATATGGCCTAGGCTTGCCCAAGCGCTCCTGATGTACAGGAGTGCACCTGAGAGAATGGCAGCACATCCATGAACTGAGCAGACTCCAGTTCCCAGCTCGCTGGTTCCTGGCTTAAGACATGCTATTGTGTTTGCTTCTTTGTTATATTTGTGTTCATTTTGTGTGAATGCCTGTGGAGGTCAGAAGACAACTTGAAGTTCTTTCTCTCCATACTGGAGTTCTGGGAATCAAACCCAGGTGGTCAGGCTTGGAAGCAGGAACCTTTACCTGCTGATTCATCCAATTGCCCTGCATCTTTGCTTCTTAAGAATGCGGAAGTTAGGCTGGAGAGATTGGTCAGAGGTTAAGAGCTCTGGCTGCTCTTCCAAAGGTCCCAGCAAACCATCTAGAATGAGATCTGGTGCCCTCTTCTGGCATGCAGGCATACATACAGGCAGAACACTATATACATAGTAAACAAATCATTAAAAAAAAAAAAAAGAATGTGGAAGTTACCATATTTGGAACCATTTTAGCTCTCCAGAGACTGATTCTGCTCAAGCTCTCTGAATTGTCCTCTCTGAGCTCCAGCCAGTGTCAGTAAATGATGTTGCAGTAACTGTGCACGTGTTTTATTGTATAACAGTGCCACTTTCAGGGACCAGTAATCATTTTCCTCTACCTCTACTCCTTGGTCACCTTAATACCATTGCCATAACTTAGAATTACTTTTTTCCAAATTATTTTCTTTTTTTTCAATTACAACCAGAGTCTAGCCATATATGATCTTAAATTCCTCATCTTCCAGCTTCAGCTTACCTGTCAGGTTCTGGAATTAGAGGCATGGACTACAGTGGCCAGCCAAAGATTTTACTGTTTTTTAGATCAATTTTAGCCTCACTGCCAAATCAAAAGAATATACCAAGAGTTTTTATTATGTCCCCTTCCCCACAACACTCAGCCTCTCTCACTGTCATCATTGGCCCCAGGAAGGAACTTTTGTTAAGAATTCACACACCCAACTCTACTGTTCTTTTATACACTGTGCATTTGGATAAATGTGATAGGTATCCACTATCATAGTGTGGCACTATATGTTTGCTGGGTCCTGCTACCGTCTTGTGTTCTGCCAGTTTGACCTGCTGTCCCTTTTAATGGCTAACAACTACTGACTTAACTGTTTTTCCCATTTTCTGTTATGACAAGTAGCCTAGATTGTTTTCTTTCTCTTAACATTTTGAGTTTAACTTTCTGTCTATTACATAGATTTTTATCAAATAATTATGCAGATAACCTTTTTTTTCTCCTAAGCTGTTAAGAGTGTGCAAGCAAAGACTTGTCTATGTCTGGTCAAAGGCATTCAAGATACTTGTTGAATAAAGGACAAATTAATGTTCTAGAAAAAAACTCAGCATCCTAGTTCAAACAAGGCTAGAGTGTTGATGCTTGACACCATTCATGGTCGCTTTTTTCCCCAAGTTATAATTATTTACTGGGATTGAGCTAGGGGCAGGCATGTGCCACGGTGCCTGTGTGGAGGCCAGTTGAACTCCGTTTGTTAGGCTTAATGGCAAGCACCCTCATCCACTGAGCCATGTCATAACAACTGTCTTCTCTTTTCCCAAAGCAGCAAGGTCCAGAATACTCACTGCACACTGATGCTTGTAGGAGTTGTCACTGTTGGTCATTCTAACCCTGAACTTAATTATATATGTTACCCTGTTTATAAATGTTTGAACCTACTCAAAGCTTACATTAATAAAAATCAGAAAGGCAATTGGGTTTTTTAAAGAATGTGCCCATAAAGAATGTTTTCCATGTCCATGGACATCTGGTTTCTACAGAGCAGTGAGATCTTACAACCTTGATTTGACAAGCCATGCTAGTCCTGTGCTTCAGCCAAGCCTTGGCCACAGAGCAAGTGATCCTTGTAGCTAAGATGGGTTAGGGTAAGGAGTCACAGATCTGGAACAACATTGGGGCAAAAGGTATATATACGACAGCAGCCAGTGTGTGCTGTTCTGGGGTGCCTTGGAGGAGCCTCCCCTTTACCTTCAGCACCATAAATAGAAAAAGGAAAAGGACCAAGTGAATGATGCTGCCTCTTGGTAACTGTCATGCAGTCTCTCAGAGATGATGTAGGCGCTAAGAGGCAAAGGAAAGTACCCAGATCAAAGGACAGAAATATCACGGAAGACATTTTCCCTAGGCAGACTTGAAGCAATCGTTTTGGCAGTTTAAGTGTTCAAGAAAAATAAAGTGGTGAACTGAGGCACTTCCTGTACTAGCCTTGCTTTAACTGGTTTTCCCAGCATACTAACTCTTTACATATTCAGTAGGATACTTGTTTCAACTTCTATCTTAAGGACTGGACATGAAACACTTTGCAAAACAGGGTGTTGCCTTTGCTGTAGTAGATTTTACAGTGGACTGGCAGGATAGATTTTAATCCTATTATCATTTACCTGATCATGAGCTGTGGTACATATTATAAAAGATCATTTGAAGATACTGTGAGAGCAATCTACCCAGAGGCACAGACAAGCAGTGGCTAAGGAAAGCTTCCCTGAGGAAGAGAGTTTGCAGGGAAACCTGCAATTACCTCATTAATTAGTATCTGAAACGCACAGGGGGAGTAGGCCAGGAGCTGTTTTTGTTAGACTAAAGGGCCACAGTTTGGAAGCCTTTGGCCTTCTTGGTAAAGATGATTTCTACATTTAGAGGAAATGCTGATGCCGCTGGGAAACAGGCATTGATGATACTAATAGGCAAAAAAAGGAGGTTTTACTACAGTGTCAGGTTACTAAACTATTAGGAAGCTTTCATAAGTGAACACTGGGAAACTAGGCTAGAAAATGTCAGACTTGTCATGAGAAGGGGAATATTAAACATTAAAGAATCTTGTGCATTCTATGACGTAGTGTTCCAGGGTAAGAACCACCTAACCTGTCTCTTCTCCGCAGAGTTCATATGCTTGTGCAATAGTTAGTGATGGCAGATTTTCAGCCCTCTGCAAAGCCCTTCTTTTGCCAAATAAGCTTCCTCTGTAATCCTACAGTATCTGTAAGGGCCAGGCGTCATCGGGCTATATGGTAGTCAATGTCAGGAAGTACCTGTTCAGGGACACCTGAAGTAAAGTATGAAGAATGGAGAATCTTTGTATTACAGTAAAACTCTGTAAGAATAAGTCTTGTAGAGAACAGAACACCTAAAACTATTTAAAGCTGAAAATAAGTCTCCATTTCCCAAGTCACTCTATAAACTCAGTGAGTTCCCAATCACAGTAGCAGAGGTGTACATGGCAAGAGATGTACAGAGCCTATCTTTGAAAAGCAGGAGTAAGTCCTGAAACTCTCCCCTGGATCATGATACAGCAGAAAAGAGAGCTTGGTGACACAGAAAGGGTTTTATGCCTCTAAGATTTGAGGTAGCATTTCAGATAGAATGATCCCTATTCAGCATATTTTAGTAATGAGTGAAGCTTGGAAATGATAAATTCCGTGCATACAGTGCAGCCCCTGAGTTGTGAAACCACTTATTTCTCCTGTTGGCATCCAGGGGAAAGTCCTGGGGGAGTTGCACTTTTTAATGACTATGAACAAAAGATTGAGCTAGCATAGTGGTTCACACCTACCAAGGGAGGCTGACAGAGGAGATCACTGAGTTTGAGGCCAGCCTGAGCTACATACAAAGTGAGTTCTAGGTCAGCCTGAGCTGGAGTGACACCCTGCCTCAAAAGTTCTAAACAGCAGTGGAACCATTAAGATGGATCAGTGGGTAAGGGTGCTTAATGGTGCAAGCCTGAGGACCTAAATTCAACCCCCAAAATCTACATAAAGATGGGTAGAGAGAGCCAGAGCCATGTGGTTGTTCTCTGACCTCCAAACATATACCATGTGTGCACATACATATATACATGATAAGTTTAAAAACTCAAATTTTAAAGATCTGGTTTTCAAAGGTGGCTTGTGTATTTGCCATAATAACGCCTCCAAAGGCTTTGGCTTCTTTTTCTTTTAGGTTGTCTCAGACTAGTTTGTCCATCTCTTTGAGTTTTTTAGATTATCACTGTGTGCCCATGCTAAAAGGCTGTGTGGAGGTGGGAAGGAGCAATTAACATGTGCTAAAATAGAACCGAGAGAGCAGGCAGAGACCTGTGGCCATATCAACTCTTCCAACATTTGCTGTTTGTAGGAAGAAGTCATGGTGCTAGAGAGGATCTTACTGCAGACCATAAAGTTTGATTTACAAGTAGAGCATCCGTACCAGTTCCTGCTCAAATATGCGAAGCAGCTCAAAGGTAAAGGGGTGTAGGGACTTTGGATTGTTGCTGTTTGTACTGCTGGGACTTTCACATGTGCTACCTCTGAACCACTTCCCCAATCGTATTATTTAAAAGTTTTCATTTTGAAATGAAGTCTTTTTCATTTGACAATACAAGGATGATGTTTCTCAAAAGAAGGAAACAGAAAGTTCCATGTATGATGTACCCAGCCTGTGTCTCACTCAGACAGTGCAGTAATGGAGCTGTTAATGCTTTCCCTTTATGCAGAAACAGGTTCTGTCATCCTGTTGCCAAGTGATAGGAGACAGGGAAATGAGTCAGGATTTTAAATAGACTAATAAAATTAGCCTTGGAGCCACATTTCCCATAAATGGTGGTTCAGTGCAGGTCATGTAGAGAATACCAAGAGGTAGGATGTGAACCATGTCATTTGTCACCATTTTCTATACAAAACTCTTCGCTGTACTGACACATAATAGATTTTAAGTAACTATTTGTCACTTCCTGTGAATTATTTTTTTCCACTATTATTAATTTACCTTTTTCCCCTCCATTTCTAGGTGATAAAAACAAAATTCAGAAATTGGTTCAAATGGCATGGACATTTGTAAATGACAGGTAAATGTGTTTAGATGTTGATTGAACTCATTTTTTAAAAGATGCAGAGATGTGGGGGCTGTTTAGTCCAAGTAGAAGGAAGTTGACTTGCCCAGAGCTGTTGCCTAGGTCATCTGCTTCTCCACAGAGGTTTCTTTTACCCTGCTGCATTAGTGTGATCTGAGGGGAAATGAAGACGATGTAATGAGAGTGGATGCTGGACTGCTCAGGGCTGATTCTGTTTCTAGTGATGATTTCAGAGCTTTAAATGTCACTGGTGAGCCAGTGACTGGAGTTGCTGGCACTTGCACTCCATGGCCTGCAGAGAAGCATCTGGAATCTGACTTACGGTCTGCTTGAGCAACCATGAGTATTCATTTGCAGACAGTGCACTGTCTGGGTTCTCAGCAGTAGAGGACATGGCCTGCTCTCATCTGTCACACTGTGCAGCAGTTGCTGAAATTTGCTACAGTTCCTGTCTTTAAAAAGCAAGTCGGTAACCATGGTTTACAGCAGTTCATTTGGGCACTTAAAGCTTGCTTTTTTAATTTTTAATACTTTTAGCTCTTGTAGGCAATTAAGCAAACTGACTAGTTGCTAAATATGACATCTAATTTCTGTGTGTTGTTTTGGTCACAAATGTTAGGTATCAAATGCAAACCATTGTTTTCTTTCCCTGTTGATCTAGTCTCTGCACCACCCTGTCGCTTCAGTGGGAGCCAGAAATCATAGCTGTCGCAGTAATGTATCTCGCGGGACGATTGTGCAAATTTGAAATACAAGAGTGGACCTCCAAACCCATGTACAGAAGGTGGTGGGAACAGTTTGTTCAAGATGTCCCTGTTGACGTTCTGGAAGGTACCTGGCATGCAGAGCTTTCTTTTAAGAATGTTGGTGTTTGGTTGATTCTTCCCTGTAGGCCCAAGTCCTGAGAGTGGACTTTCCCAGATCAGTAGCTGTCCTCGTTTTTCAATAGCATCTTTAGATTATCTAACGTGATTTTCCTTTGTCTGTGCACAAAGCTTAATTAAGCTAAAAATAGAGCCCAGTTTTGTGCACAGCAAAGATGGCGTGAGTTCAAGATGTAATTGCTGCTTATTAGTTTTTCTAAGAATCAGCGGTGATTTTTTTCCCCCTAGGTAAAATTTGGTTTAAAGTGTCGATTTGTAATAAATGTAATGTTGCTGTCATCTAGACATCTGCCACCAAATCCTGGATCTTTACTCACAAGGGAAACAACAGATGCCTCATCACACCCCTCATCAGCTGCAGCAGCCCCCATCTCTTCAGCCTACACCACAAGTGCCACAGGTGCCACAGTCACAACCATCTCAAAGCTCAGAAGCGGCCCAGGCTCAGCAGAAGGACTCACAGCAGTCAGCACAGCAGCAGCAGCAGCAGCAGCAGCAACAGGCACAGCAGCCCAAGAAACCGTCTCCTCAGCCCAGTCCTCCCCGACAGGCCAAGCGTGCTGTGGTGAGTGGGCTTGCAGCTGGCCACATCACACTTTTACTAGTCCCATTTTTAAGAGGTCTGATGAACACCCAAAGTAAGAGGTGAACCTACCAAAATTTAGTTAGACTGTCCATCCAGGAGCCTGAAAGCTAAGGGCCTCAGAGAGCTTAGCAGACACTGCCCTTCTCTTGCATCCTCCCTGCTTCTCCTATCCCAATGGCCTCTGAAACCTCTTGGGACCTGGTTCCTGTATGTGGCATGGAATATTTGTAAGGTTTGCTGGTGAGGAGCATCATCTTCCCCATAGCAGCAGTCTGACCAGGGGAGGGAGCCATTTGTTCCAGACCTGCCACCAGAAGCCCCCAGATCCACACGCACCAAGGGCCTCAAGGCTCCATGGGGATGGGAGGGAACAGAAATGACCTCTTAGGTGCTATAGAGTGCCCCTCAAGTTATGTTCTGCCGCTGTTACTGTTTCCTTCATCACCCAAACTAGGCTCAGATCATTGTGTGCTTCCTTTCATAACAGGTGGTTTCTCCCAAGGAAGAGAACAAAGCCGCAGGTAAGCAGGCCTTCAGTTCCACCTGTCTCTGCCAGCTTTAACCTTAGACCATGGCTACCTTAGTCTGCCAGCAAGAGTGCTGTCTTCTCTGCTCACCAGACCGGATTTGAGATTATACTTTGACAAAAGGTAGTCAGTAAGTAGAGACATGGCTGGCAGTAAAAGTATGTGCTTAGAAATGCATATGAAAGTGTAGTCGTGAATGAGGGGCTTTTGCAGGAGTGTTCATTGTAAGAGAACTAAGTTCATCCTGGAAGACAAGAGGGAAGAGAGCCTGTGGGCAGCCAGAGGACACAGGGTGCAGCCGTTCATCCCAGCTACTTTAGTAAGCCAAAGCACTTTTTAATGTTGGCGTTTTGTTTGTTTGTTTCACAAGTTACTTAATATGCTTTTAATATTGGGAATAAGCAGAAAGCAGAATTTGAAGGACTCCAGAACAGGAAATGAGAACCATTTCCCTGTGTCAGTCCTCCGCAGCTCCGGACAGTCACAGTGCATCCATCTTCACTTGAAGGTCCCGCTGGATTACTCATAAAACTGTTGTGAGATCTTCAGGTTAAAGCTGTGCTTTTCTCAGCCTCTCTGGGAGAATGATGAGTTCGGTAGAGGTGAATGAATTTTGGCTCCACTGACAGGTGTTGAGTATATGAGAAACAGTGTGGGCTGTGATCCATGTCACGTGGGGTGTGGAGTCAAAGTGAGCAGATGTGCTGCTGTGAGACAGAGAAGCTGCTTCACAGTGACCTTGAAGAAAGGACTTGCCTCTGAGGAGCTAGAACCCTGACATGGAAGGATACAGGAAGTGGAGAATGGAACGTTGAGCCAGACGGGCAGAGCCGTCTCATTAGTGTGTAAAGAACCCTTGCATAAGATTCAGAGTATGGGTTTTTCAGTCCCGAGTCAGGTCAGAGGCAAGACCTCAAGGGCCACATGTGTCTCAGACTGTGTACAGTTGTTGGGAGTTGTTTGAAGGCTCTCATGCAGGCTAATGGCAAGACCATTTGCGGTCATGTTCCTGACAGCATTAGTAAAATAACAGTAGGATAAGTGGTTAGCTGTGGAAAGATACTGGACACACCTTGGCAGTGACCATCAGGGCAGAAAAGGGGGATCTGGGATGCACTGTTGACATGGGAGCTCCCCAAGCTATACAGCTTGTCACACCAGCCACTGAGGCTAGGCCAGCCCTCAGGCTATCTTTCTAAGGACTGTCAGTATAAAATCACCAGATATCCAAGGCTTTTGTTTGTTACTTCTGGTTCTGTTTTTGTTGTTTTGTTTTAAAACAGAGTCTCAGTAGGTAGCTCTAACTGGCTTGGAACTCATTATGTAGACCAGGCTGGTCAAGCTCTCAAAGAAGTCTGCCTGCCTTTGCAGTGATATTTCAAGTCTGTATAAAAAAGGAGATCATTAAGAGTTATGTCATGTTAAATGAAATAATATGGCCTGTACTTTTTCACTTGGCTGCTGGAAAGGTATATGGCTTTCACACAGCTATGTGGCAGCTATCATAGACAGCTGTAGTTGTCCTGGCTGTGGGAAGAGGAAGAAGGGAGTGAGGATAGAAGTCCAGGGATGCAGTGTGGTGTCAGGCCTGTGGTTCTAGAAAAGAAGTGGGGCCTAGAAGTGTAGTTATTTGTGAAAGCTGAGCCTGTTATCCCAGCCCTCTGGAGGTGGAGACTGGAGGATCCTGAGCTCAAGGCCATGCCACAACTGCATAGTGATACCATGTCTAAAGCCAAGGAAAGGGAAGGAAATGCTCCTGTACCACAGGGAGGGTCTCTGGGCTGAGGAAGGAGAGGATTGAGTGAAGAGCTATCTGGGCCTGGATCCATCCAGGATTCAGGATGGTCTGAGACCTGAAATCGTGAGAAAGTGGTCAGTGGTGTGCGAAAGAGAGCAGGAGAGGGGTCAGAGCCAAGCTGCTCTTAAGTTCCAGGACAGAAGCCCCACAGAAACAAAGAGAATGGAGTTCAAGGTCAGCCATGAGGTCAGCCATGAGCTTCCTGCCTACTTAAGCTCTAGTGACTTGGCGTTTACTGTGGGGACTGGTGGTGCTTTGGAGCTAAGGCTGTGCTGCTGCCTCCACCTGGATTAGTGTTGTCCAACATGCCCGTTCTCCCTCCATCTACTCACATGCCTTCAGATCTTCTCTGTTCACAGTAATGCACTGCTGACAGACTGCCAGCCGGAAATCAATATTTGAGAGCAAAAGTAGGCTTGAAGGACTGTCTTGTAAGAACGCCCGGGGGGGGTCTGTATTCTGAGCCCTCGCTGCCATTCAAATTGTTGAAGGACTTGTAACAGCGTGGCCAGTGTCTGTTAAGAGGTGTCTGCGCTGTGCTATAATAGGATTAGTGGTTCATGGTGGTTCTGCTGCTCTTCCTGCTCCTGTGATGTTTTGCTCCTGCCTGTTCTTTGTCTCCAGAGAACTCTGCTGTGTGGTTTAGTTACATGAGAGAGTATGTGTGACTATTTTGATCCACTTTTTCTTTTTAGATCCACCACCACCACCTAAAATTCCCAAACTTGAGGCTACTCACCCACCATTGCCTCCATCACACCCACCTCCAGGTATGTGCCTGTTGACACCACTTGCCCAGTACCTTTGGGACCGTATATTGTAGGGATGACCTGGAGGGTCCTGCAAAGATAACTGTGTGCAAGGAGCCTTCAAAGCTGCTAGTTTCACCAACTAGGTATTTGTAGATGTTGTAAACTCTGAACACTGACCAACTGCACCCAGAAATACTGAACTACATGAAGTAAATGAATCTTAGAGAAAATGCTAACAGCTGAGAAACATTTATCCAGATGTGGGCAGAGTTGCTCTTAGGCTGCATTCTCTCACCTGCTTCCTGTTGCAGGATGTCTTTATGGTGTGTTGTGAAGAATGAGCAATTGTTCAGAGTCACTGGAGAGGAACGTTAAGTGTATAGAGTTCTCAGCAGTACATGGTGCTGGGAGGCTTCCCAGACTGCATTCTTTACTTGTACTCCTTTTCAAAAACTGGCACAGGAGAGCTGGTATATTCAGGGGCCTCTGTACTTCTCACAGTTGGCTGTACTGACAGGTGGTTGGTGTACATGACTAGCCTCAGCTACGGAGCTCATGACTGTAGCAAACAGCTGCCAAGTAGCTTTCTCTGTCCACATGCAGTCAGAGGCTTAAGTGCTGTTAGAGGAAATGTGTTATACGTGGAACACAATACCATGTCCCCTGTCTCATTGAGTGGTCTACAGCACTGTGGTGTGGTGCATGGAGAGAGCCCAAGGCAGTCAGCAAGTTGTTCCTGCCTGTGCTCAAGGCAAGCAGCAGCTACTGTAGATACCGCAGGCCCTGCCAAGCACAGGAATTCCCACTCAGGTGGCCGCTGACAGCCCAGGACATAGGCAGTAACTGGGAGCCAGATCAACTCCAGAAGGGGCTGGTCGGAGAATGTTGCCTGAGAGACATTGCTCCTCTGTAGGGAGAAGAGGTAGCAAAGATGTGGTAGCTGGCCTTGTGGGATTGGAGGAAGAGTCAGTGGTAGAGAGAGGCAGAACTCTGTGACCTGAAGAAATGTTAAAGTCAACAACCAGACTTAGGGGACATTTGAGGGCCTTCTGTGGCAGCAGTGGACACAGGTGAGACCTCTGCTTCAGCATAGTAAAGGGTCAGATACTCTGGGGACTGGACAGGCCCAAGGTAAGGATTACAATAGTCAGTTTCTAGTTTATTTTCTCATTTTTTGTTTGTTTTAAATAGGGTCTTGTGTAGCCCAGGCTAGTTTTGGACCATAATCTTTCTACATTAGTTTCTCATATTCTTGGGAATACACCTGACCACAGGAGTAAAGCTGGATAAGCACATTCACAGCCCAGGTGGTCAGGGAGCAACACAGGAGGGATTAAGGGGCTACACCTTGATGCACACATCTCATTTAGCCTCTAGAACCAGAGAACATTTGCCTGCCTGCCCCAGGCTTGAAGCAGATTCTCTGCAGGTGTTTCTGACCATCTGTTGGGAGCCAAGGATAGCTGATCATCCCAGCTGAGGCCTTCTGACATATCTGTGGCCAAGCAGAAACTGCGTTTGCCTTCAGCTTGGTGTGAACAGGGAAAAAAGCAGGTGCCACTTGTAGGCCATGTGAAGAGCAGAGGTGTAGCTGCCCTAGCGCCTGGGCAGGAACCTTTACCCGTGCCCACCTGCCCAGTGGGGCACAACAGCTGCCTTTCACACAGGACTCCTTGAGGAGCTAGAAATGTTTCTCATGGCCTCACTTCCCTTTAGGAGGCATCTGCAGGCAGCAGATTTGCTTCTGTGATTAGTGTTCCTTCCTAGCAGCCTTGTGAAGGGATACTTTATGTCTGTGGGTACTTTGCTTACCTGTGTGTCTGTACAGTGCATGCATACCTGGTCCCCATAGGGGTTAGAAGAGGGCATTGAATTTCCTGGAACTGGAGTCAGCTGTGAGCTGGGAACTGGATCCTCTGCAGGAGCAACAAGTGCTCTTAACCCCTAAGCCAAGTTTTTCAGCCCAGGATACAGTCTTCTGAGTGCATATGTGGTAGTGACAGAAGAGGGGGTCCTGGTATCCTTTTCCAGAGGTCCAACCATGACTCGGGGATCACAAGCCAAAGCCTCCTGTGGGGCTTTGAGGGAGTAGAATCTATAGCTATGAGTTGTGGACAGATCTGCAGGTCTCAGGAGTGCTACTGCTCCGTTGTTCACATATCTGTCCTTTGGATCTGAAATGGTAGTGGCCTTGATCTTCCTTCTCTTAGTAGAGACAGAAATGCCACTTTGTGAAGTGCTGGTTTCTGTTTGACTTTTATGTCATCTCTCATTTGACAAGCTCAGTCTTTAGGAACAGAGACATGTTGAGAGCCCAACCTGTTTGTGCTAGGAGAGATGAATTGGGCTGGGCCTGCTTGCACCTTGTGTGCGCGGTAATGAGGGAGGGGACCCAAAATCATTGGAATGGTATAGAAAGCCTGTGGGATGGGCCAAGGGCAGAACCTAGTGGCCTCTAGACTTGTTGGGCCACAGAGATGGTAGCCAGTAGCCACTCCTCGCTCTTCTGTGACATGGCACCTTACCCAGTGCCCATGAATAGTTATGCTGCCAGGGGTCCCTAAAAGATGCTTGGTTCACTTGGCCCCAGGGTTTCCTACTCTAAAAAAGTTGGGGCAGTAGCTACACCATTCATCCGGCTGAGCACTGACATCTCTCTTCTACAGACCGGAAGCCTCCCCTTGCACCTGCCTTAGGTGAGGCTGAAGCAACTGGTCCTGTGGAAGCAAGCGACCTCCCCAAAGTACAGATTCCTCCTCCAGCCCACCCAGCCCCTGTTCACCAGCCTCCACCATTGCCACATCGGCCTCCACCCCCACCCCCCTCAAGCTACATGACTGGGATGTCCACCACCAGCTCCTACATGTCAGGAGAGGGCTACCAGAGCCTCCAGTCCATGATGAAGACCGAGGGTCCCTCCTATGGTGCCCTGCCTCCAGCCTATGGCCCACCTACTCACCTTCCCTACCACCCCCATGTTTACCCTCCCAACCCACCTCCACCTCCTGTTCCTCCACCTCCAGCTTCCTTCCCCCCACCCGCTATTCCCCCTCCTACCCCAGGCTACCCTCCACCTCCCCCTACCTACAACCCCAATTTCCCACCTCCACCCCCACGCCTGCCCCCAGCTCATGCAGTTCCTCCTCACCCTCCTCCAGGCTTGGGTTTGCCACCAGCCAGCTACCCACCTCCAGCTGTTCCCCCTGGAGGGCAGCCGCCTGTCCCCCCACCCATCCCTCCACCTGGCATGCCGCCTGTCGGGGGACTAGGGCGGGCAGCCTGGATGAGATAACATGACGCTTTCTTTCTTCCTCCCTCCCTCTCCCCCCTCTCTCTCTTTCTTTTTAAAGTCTCTTTCTTTTTAAACAAGAGTTTTCCAACCAACTTGAAGAGCAGATTGAGTGGATGGCAGCACGGTATCTTGTATACGCTAGACAGTTATAGTATGGGAGGGCTGGGCCCTGGGATGAGAACAGTGTGCGCTGGCCAGTGCCTGTGGAGTGACCACATCCAGTCTCAGCTACTGCCTGTGTCCTGGCTGGCTTACGTTATACTAGTGAAGATGTTAAGTAGCCACATTGGCTCAGTAAATAGCTTGAGTAAGGAGTGACTAACCCTCTAGAAATCAGTGCCTATTTCCCCTGGGAACTCAACTTTCGGTAGCTGTGTCCTCCTGTCTGCAGTTGAGCTGTTGTCCTTCCATTCAGTGGCTTCTCTCTGTGGCCCCTAGTAGGTGAGGTGAGCCCCCACTTGTAACTCTGTGTCTGCTGTCACCACCTGGAGGAGGCTGTCTCCTTCCCTCCAGGGGGAAAGGAGGTGTGTACTTGGAAAATAATGTATGTTTACATCTCTTTGCAAAGTCTTGTACATAGAGATATATTTTTTAAGCGTGAATGTAACAACATACTGTGAATTCCATCTTGGTTACAAATGAGAATCAGTCAGTTACCCAAATAAAACCAATTCTGAAACTATCGAGTTTTCTATGTGTGAAGTGAGGGAAGGACATGCAGTCCACTGCAGAAGCCGCCACCTCCTCCCACTGGACTCCAGGCACTGCCTTCCAACTCCCAGAGCCCCTCTCTGCCTCTGTTGCTCTGTCCCATGTCCTGTGCCTCCTTTGGAGGAACCGGTGTTCTCGGCTACACAAGCTTCTCAAGGGATCAAGCTCAGAAACCCTCTGGTTCCTGGTCTGAGAGTAACCATGAGTGGTCCCCACTGTCCAGGGTGGGGCCGGCTGTCTGCTCAACCAGCCGTCAGCTCACAACAGAAAAAAGCACTACACACCCAGTGCAGAGGCTCACAAAGAGGCCTTTATTATCTAGTTCAAAGTAGACACTGTCACAATCTTATTTGTTACTCCTTTTACTAAAATAGTTCAAATCAATGCTTTTACCACACTATCAAAAGTTCTATTTTTCCTCTCTCCACAAATCAATGTGGTTCAATAGAAGGTAGAAACGGCCGAAGTACACAGGCTCCAGCGCTACATGGCCAGGGCAGGAGGGGGCAGCTGCAGGTCTCACTGCCAATTCCTACAGAAGACTGGCCCAGGGCAGGAACCAGGCGTTCCAGCCTCTCGCAAAAGCAGCACACTTCTCCCCCACAGTACGAAAATATACGCCTCTGCCGCTCCGCAGCCATGCATTTAGTTTGTTTCTTTAAAAAAAAAAAAAAAATCAGTAGTATGTATTTCACTTCCTCTCAAGTTTCAAGAAAGAAAAATGAAAGGTCACTTTGTCTTTAAACACTGGCGTGTAGCTGTTTAACATGAATGAAAATGTGCTCAGCAGATTCTGACTCCAGGGTAGGCGAGGCCACCTGGATGGGGCTGGGTGACCTCCATCACAGTGGGAGGTGGAGCCAGTGCAAGCATCTTGTGGGCTTGAAATGCAGAGTCAGCATTGCAAAGGCTAAGGCTCCAGAAGGGAGGGATCACAGATGACCAGCTGCCCTCCCCAGCCTAGGGCTCACCCGGTCGCTGCTGGCCCATCCCCCATCCCGTTAGGTTTGAGATATGACACAGACTGTCCTTGAGAGCCAGCCCAGTGCTGAGGGCTGCAGCATAGCTTGTTCCACCCTGTGGAAGGACAGAGGGGTCTCCAAGAAATCCTCTTTAGAACCCAGGATGCCTCTGCAGCGTTCGGGACAGGGTCACACCTCTCCAGAAGGGAAAGGTTGCGTCTAGGCTTTTCGTTACTGGCCAGTCTTCAGATTCCAAGAGCCCTTACTTATTGCTTATTTCAGTGGTGGCTAAGCCACCCTGATATGAATGTGACTGGGACTCTCTGACTTGGCTCCCAACTTGTGTGGACCCACATATCTCAGTGCTATTCTGGGGCTCCTTGGCCTCAAAGAACCGGGAAGGGTCTTGCCAGCCCAGCAGCCCACTTGGCAGAAATCACCCAGTACCAGGGCCAGCAGGTGGGGCTCCCAGTGACACCAACAGCCAGAGCAGTAGGCCGGTTCCCTACAGCCCCTGCACAACACTCCCTGGGCACACTGAAGGCCATGGGCCTTTCCCCTGAGAGTGTGGGACCCAAGGGTGCGGGCAGCAAAGGTGGTGGAAACAACGCAAGGCCACCGGGCCTTGGCTGCGAGGGGAGCGAGGGACCACCAACCTTCTTGGCCTGTCCCCTTTGTTCACAGGGTGTGGGGCCTGAGGCGAGGCCAAGGTCTTTGGGCTTGCTGCACGGGGCTCTAAGTACCTTTGAGTGAGGACAGCTGATGAGTGGGGACATAAACACATGGCACGGGTGATGCCAGCAGCATGGCCTGGTCTTCCTACAGGTCTTGAGATACCATCTGCACATTTCACAAAAGCACCCACTTCCTCGTTTTCCTTACACCTCATTAGAAAACATGAGTGTGTGCAAGGAAACACTCATTTGAACCCTGGGTCCCTGTAGGGAGGGGCTGAGGCTCAGATGTGACCTGTGAGGAGGCAGCATGGCAAACAGGCTAGCCTAACATGAGCTCATCAGTTGTAGTGAGGACAGAGGCCCACCAGAATGGGGTGGTTTCTAGAGTTGAGCACAGCCAAAAGGAACCTCAGCCTGTCTTTCTACTGGGGGCCCAGAGAAGCTGAGTGACTTGCTGAAAGCCACACAGCAGATTAAAGCCAGAACCAGGTCATGCCCCTTTCTTCCCAAGGAAATCTCATCAGGGCTAGCTCCTGTAGCTCCATCTGTGACCCAGAGCACACCTGGGGCAGGCCATACTGACAGAGACCCAGTGCCACAGCCCAGTCCTACCTGTCCTTTGGGAATGCTGAGCTCAGCCCAGACACTCTCCAGAACTTCCTATGTTGCTGTAAACCAGAAAAGGAAACCCAGCAGGAGAGACCTAAGAGGGCGCTAAGCCTGGCGTGGGTGAGGAGTCATTACCGAATGGGTGAACGCTAGTAAGCAGCAGCTGGCTTCGGGGTGGCTGGGCACCACCAGGAGGCAGGGAACCCTGAGCTCCCAGCCAGCCATGGACACATGGGAGCCAGCACTCCACTATCCAGGGTCCCAGCTCTGACAGGGTGGCAGGGAAGTGCCACCTGTGTCACAATTCAGGCTTTAGTAGTGGCTTCTGTCCAGTGTGAGGGACAGCCGGCGTGGTAGGCTTGATGAGGGGCTTCTAAGAACAGGACACAGCCCCAGACAGTCCCTGGGCCTGAAGTCTCAGAAGCTTCTTGCTAGTGGAACATGGAGCTCAAACAGGGAGGCAGGCTGCCTGGCCACTCTGCCACGGCGAGCGAGCAGTGGCATCTCATCTTCCCAAGGTTTGCTGGTGAGGGAGGCAGGAGGTGGAGGCCTGGCTGTCGTTGTCTCACCAGGGCAGCCGGGGTGGGCCGTGTCCTATGTACAAATCACCACAAAGAAAGATGGCGGTTAGGCCGGGGCTTCCGCCAGGTCCAGGCCTCAGACTCGGACTCCGGGCAGGGCAGTGCACGTCCACGGAGAGACGGGTTCTACAAAGGCCCCTTGAACTGGTTGCCAGACAGGTGCTGCCGGATGGAGGGCTTGGTGCTGGCGGCATCTCCCAGTTTCCTCCAGACCACCTGTGAGGAGGCACGCAGTGTGAGTGGAAGGCTCGCCCCAAGCCTACCCCCGGCTTCACATACCTACGCCTTACTGCCCTGAAAGATCACCCATGTCCTCCCAGCCCTGGAGCTCGGAGGTCACAGGAAGGGGAGGTGCTGGCACTTGGTCTTTGCCCACCATCACAGTCATGCCTGACCCCCAAGGAGGCTACTGCCAGGTGTGAGTGGACATCCTTGAAGATGTCCAGTGGGGACCATAGATTCAGGAGACGACTTGAGGGCATGTGCCTCAGGGCATCCCACCCCACCTAGGCCCCAGGTTCAGACCCCGTGAAGCCACCTTCCCACTGGCTTCTGTGAGGACACAGTACAGATGACAAGTGATAGGTAGGCGGGAGTTGAGAAATGAGGCTCTCCCACTCGTGTGGCCAGGTCACAGGCCACCAGGGGGCACCAGTGAGCCAAGAAACCCAGGGCCTTCCAGTTAAGCTAAAACCAGACCTCGGGGCTCTATCCAGAGCCCCAGGCATGGCACTCCTGGGAAAGGACAGATCTGCTAAGAGATCAGGGGCCACTCCGAAGGGGAAGGCATAGCAGGTAGTAATGAGCCATGATTGTCAGAGCCGGTCATCCTCCACCAGCCATTGAGGAATGAAAGAGAAACAAGTAGCCACACTCCCAGACCAAGACCCAGACCCAGACCCAGACCCCAGACCCCAGACCCCAGATCCCAGTCCCCAGGCCCCAGCCCCAGACCCCAGATCCCAGTCCCCAGTCCCCAGCCCCAGTCCCCAATCCCCAGCCCCAGTCCCCAGCAAGCGCCTCACGTTGCACATCTCTCGAACTATGGCCTTCTCTTTCTCACTCAGGTCCTCCTCACAGCTGTCTTGAAGCTGCCGGTCAAGGTTCTCGTGTACTTCCAGAACCTGGAGAAAAGGGGGTTGGGTGAAGGCCAGCAAAGAGCCACTGAGGAACTAGGGAGACTGGGCAAGGGCTTTAGGTGGACTTGCTCTGGGAGCCACCAAAGGACATGACAGCCATCTGGGACATGGCAGTCACAGCCAGTTCCTATTACAACTGGGCAGCCATGCGCTTGGGTGGGTGATGAACTGTGGGCCTGGGGCAGGACCTGTGCTCCGGTATGCAAACCCACTCTAGATGCCCTGCTTGCACCTGGAGGCACAAGGCTAGCCTGGATCTTTAGTTCTAGCCTCACTCCCAACTGGGGCCTCTCTCTGGCCTTTAGGGGCACACTTGCCCTCCTATCCCAGGTCAGTTTCCTCAGCTGCAACACCTCAGGCTGAGCAGACAACCGGTACACTCGTGACCACACCCGGCACAGGCTCCACGGTGCTCTGGGCAACCGTGCACCCACAGCCACCCACAGAGGCACAGTCTCCAACCCCCTTGCTCAAGTGCCCTGAACTTGGAGACAGCATGTACGGGGACCAAGGTCCCATGATCCCATGGTCCCACTGTGTGCAAAGGACGGGCAAATGGCATGTTTTACCTTCATGGCATGTACAACGGCCTCGGGCTTCTGCCCTGCAGAACTGTAGATGGTGGAAGGGGGTGAGGGCAGCTCGGGTACGGGGCAGGCTGGGCCCTGTGGAAAGAAATGGCATGAGTGAGCCCCCGGCCTGTCACTAGATGAACACTGGCTTGGGTTACATGGAGCCAACATCCAGACAGGAGGAGAAAGAGGGTGGGGGTGGGGAGCTGGGCATCCTAGAAGCTGAGCTCTGCCTGGCTGGTCCCCGTGATTCCTGGCCATGCCACCGCTTCTGTAGTGCTTGCAGAGCAAAGAGTGCCGAAGGGTGGGGGTGGAGGGCGAAAGGGGGTGCATAGAAGACCATGTATGTTGTTTTTCAGGTGAGGCGTGGGCATCTTGGGAGAGGCAGAGAGTCAAATGGCCCCTGTCCGAGTCCAAAGCCCAGCCAACGCACCCTAAGTCCCGCTCCCACCCCTTGCCCTTCGGCCAGTCCTGGTCACCAGGGTGGTCAATCAGCCACTGGCCACACATCCAAGGGTAAGAGTAGAAGATAGACTAGGCTGGGCCAGGAGGGGACCCGGTCCACCAGCAGCTGGGTAAGCGCACTTGACCCAGCCTCCCCCCAGCTTCCATCCCTCCTGGTGACCATAAGCAAGGCGACCACGGCTTCGGCTTGGGCTATACTCATGGACCACGGGGCAGTAAGAACACACCAAGAAGTGCACCGGGAATGAGTGGGAAGGGGAGTACACCGAAGCCAGAGCGTGAGATGGCTGGCACCTGGGGACCAGCCTCAACACAGAGCTTCTCCCCCTGCAATACATGGACCCTGGAGGCTCCTCCCAGCAATCAGAGAAGCTGGGTCCTGAGTGCTGAACCCTGTCCAGCCGTGGCCATTCTGCTAAGCCACCATGCAAGCCTAGCAGGGGTCTATGATTGCCCTCAGGCCCACAGCCTGTCCACCAAGCCTATTTCTCTCTGGCCACTATTTCTCTCTGGCATGGGTGCTCCCTGGGGCCTCACAGGCTGATCTGCTCCTGTTTTCACCAACAAGTGCCAGCACAGGCATGGGGGCTCCGCCCCGGCAGGGCTTGGGATCTGGGAAAGCTGCGCTGAGCCTCAGTTTCCTCCCTTGGATAAGAGAAAGGGTCTGTGTCTCCGGAAGCATGCAAAACGCTGGAGTACGCTCAGGAGGTGTGTTTCTGACTCTAACCCAGGCTGTCTGGGTGGTAAATAGAAAACCAAATGGGGACAGGGAGGGAGTGGATGGGGTGGGAACCCCGAGGGCTGCAGCCCAAGCTAGGTTGGACTTGAGCAGAGGCCACACTTCCCCCACTGTCCAGCAGAGGGTGCCAGCCAAATGAATAAAGGGTCTGGTCCTAGCAGCTCGTCCTGGGGTGCCCACACCCCTCCCTGTGGGTACTGCCACCCTGTCCTGGGGAAGACCCTATCCCCAGTTCACCCTGCTGCAACTGGCCTACTTCCTCATCTGTACCAGTTTCTAACTGACTGCTGTGGGCTCCTCCAGGAATCAACCACAGAAGAAATGCAGGGGGCAAATGGACAGGTTGCTGTGCAGCACACCTCCCCCACCCCTGGCTCAGACCACTCAAGCAGCAGGTATCAGGCAGGGCAGGGCCTGGGGGTCTGAAAGGACAATGGCCATTGCTCAACATGACTAATGTGTTGGGGTTAACATCCCTTGGACCCACTGAGGGTCCTGCACCTACACTGGAAAGATCAATCCCAAGTGATAAAGCAAACCCACCTCACAGATGAGGACAGTGCTCAGCTGGTATACATAAGTCTGAGCCCAGCACTCAGGTCTCTGCCACCCCGGAGTTGGTATGAAAAATGTAGAGACCAGCTTTTCCCAAGGTGCCTTTCCAAGCCTTAATGCTCCTGTCAGGAAACCCCCCCTACCTAGGTGACAGCAGGGAAGGGAGGGGCACACATACCCAACCATTTTTATCTGGGGTCTTCCAGCATTTGACCTTGATGCCCTATTTAACAGATGGTTAAAGTCTTCAATTCATAACCCTCACGGAACAGAGATTATGCACCACACTGACCCCTGACCTCCAGGACCATCTGGGCACCACTATACCCTTGCCCATGAGGCCCTGAAATCCACTGCAGCCCGACAAGGCTCAAAGCAGGGTGATAGCCCCTCTTGTGGGATGAGGCAATGATCCTCTCCCATGGCCTCCACCATGAAGCCTTCCAGAACCTTCCCCTCAGTCCACTAGCCTCTGTCAGCACTGCTGGAGCCTGGGGAGGGGGAGTGTCCCCTGGAGGCTGTGAAAAGTGGGTTGGCACCTGGCAGGCTGACCTCTCTCTTGACGGATGCAGGTGATTTGAAAGCCTTCAGTCCACCACATCCAGTGGGCTGTTTTCAGTCTTCTACACCACCAAAATGGAGGAAAGCCCTCTTAGGAGGGAAGGAAAACCTGAGGAACCAGGCCCCGGGTGGCATCACTTGGCTCTGTGAGCCCTTCGTCATGAAGCAATTAGAGCATCATCCAGCCACGGGGCTCCTGGGTAAATATTTGGATTATCTGCAGTCGGTGGGCTTGGCTGCCTGTGCTGTGTCAGCAGGTGGAGAAGGTGGAGAAGCCAGGCTTTGGAAAAGAAACACCAAAGGACGGTTGCCAGTCCCTCCAGATGCCAATACTGGAAGAGCCTAGCACACGGGTGTGAAGTGTGTGGCCGGGGACTCCCACGAGGATGCCCCTATAAGCCCATGGCAAGGGCCCTCACTGCCCCACGGAGCGGGTAAGAATGGCAACTGCACGGCACCCCACAGCCCTCTCTCTAGTCACACAGGGGTAACAGACATGCCTGCCCACAGAGTGTGACCCGGATATGGATGGTCACTTCCTGAGAGCTGGCTCCAAGCAGCTTCCCATCCAAGGCAGGTTGGGGGCCTGGTGAGCAGGTGGCAGATGACCCTGGAGGCCTGTGGTGGTCCCAGCACAGAACCCATTAACCCTCAGCTCCAAAGTCTAAATCTGGGGCCAGCAGGCTTCCTCTCTCCGCTATAGACTCCCAAACTGCAGAATACAGTGTTGAGCCTGGCCATGGTCTTCAGACACTGCCCTGAAATGTCTAGCAAGGCTTCACTTCTCACCTCCTCACTGGGTCCCCATGAGGCTCCAAGGATGTAGGAGAGTAGAGAGCAAGGAAGGACACTTTAGGCTGGCAGTCCAAGCCCTGGCTTTTGCCCACAACTTCCCTAGATACATTGGGGGCTTCAGGCAAGAGCCCAGAGTCTCGGCTTAACCATAGACCACCCACATGCCCTGGGCTGTAAGCAGCCTGTCTCAGCTCTTGTCTGTCTCCTCTGGAGCTCAGAGCAAGGATTCTGATGGTTCTGGATCAGGGACACCGGGGACCTTTGGTGGGGACACTTACGTTCTGCAGGACTTCCTGGTAGGAGGGCGGCAGGGATGCGAGCTGGGATTCGGAATGGTATGGGGAGAAGCCTTTCCGCAAGGTCCTAAACTCTCCGGAGCCTGCCTGCTTTAGGGGAGAAGACAGAGTCAGAACCAGGGATGGCTGAGCAGTCAAGACCTCTCATGCAAAGGCCTTGCCCTAGCTTGGGCACTGTTCTTTTTTGTTTGTTTGTTTGTTATTTTAGGTTTTGGTTTTTTTGGTGTTGTTTTGGGTTGTTGTTTTTTTTTTTTTTTTTTAATGTGCATTGGTGTGCTCCTAACCTCCGAGCCATCTCTCCAGCCCCCCAGGCACTGTTCTTAATGAGCATGTCACCCTCTGCACAGCAACTGGTCTGCACACCCTCCTGGTGTGTTCATAGTTCACAGGCTGCCCGTGCCATCAGAGAGAAAACCCCCCAAGGCATGCCTGGGGTTCTGAATCCACAAGAACCAGTGCAAGCCAGTGCCTGGAAAGGCAGTGGGAATAAGGAGGAAGGATGGGCACACACATAAGCTGGCCTCGGGTGGACAAGGCATGGTCCAGACTGTCCACCTTCCAGGCCCAGCCCCACAGAAGACAGCCTTCCTGTCTAGGCCACCATGGACTTCAAAGGAAAGGAAGAAGCCATGAGGTAGATAAAAACTGCAGAGGAATGCCTATAAATCAGCAGGCTGCTGAGTTCCCCAAACAATCCAGAAACGGAGGAGGCCAGGCTGGCTGGCAGGAGGGGGGAGCTGTGCACCAGCCCTGTATAGGAGGAGGTTCCTCCTCCCTCCCAGCAGGCCCCCTCGTCCACCCTGGGAGGGACCCCCACATTCCACTGCCGGCCTCCTGCTAGTCATGGGCCCTCGCCCCCATGTCTCAGACCTCCCGCCACCCCACTGCCAGAGCTGCTGGCCTCAGCCATCTTCAGATGGAGACAGTGAAATCTCAGACAAAAGACAGAGGTGCGCACACCGCCAGACAAAAGGCTGGGATAGACACTCCCCACCACTCCACCACCCCCAACCTGGAGATCCCAGAGTCCAGCCAGAGAGGTCTGCCAACAGGACAGCAGGGTGTACCGGGGTCTGTTGGGCTGTTTGTTCAAAGGCCAGGGAGCAGCCACAGAGGGGCAGGGGGTAGGGGGCCGTTTCCTCAGTCTTGAGAATGACCCAAACTCACGTGGTGTACCCAGAGGCCTCCTGGGGCACCACATGGCTCTTACACCTAGGCATGGCCCCAGAAAGCAGCATCTGCAAAGAGATCTCCCAAGAGACCTTGTGAACGGCCTTCGCAGTCAGGTGGGACTGTGGTACCCTGTCCCGTGGCCTTGTGTAAGGTGTAGGGCACTCAAAGCGTTAAAGGCCACAGAAAACCAGTCCTCCCAGACGCAGGACCAGACTAGCAGAGCGCCCTATGACCAGGTCTCAAGAAGAGACTGTCCCCAACTGTACCTAGTCCTCCTTAACCCTCCCATGAGTGACCTTTTCCACACCATCATTTCTCCCTGAGGGGTAACCCAAACTTGACTCAAAACCCTAAACTAAACCACAGTCAGCTCTCTGAGACAACACACTCTCCAGCAAACAGCACCTTCTAAATGCCAATGAGCTCTTAATGTCCACACATAAACAAACCCACGAGGCCTCATGGGACATTGCCCACCAATGCTGCTCTGTGGGGACATGGAGACATCCCTGCCACCTTGCTGTGACTGGTGGACAAAATAAAGACACCAGAGGCAGATTACCAGCCCAGCAGAGAACGCACAGTGACATCCCATTTGGCCTCGGAATTGGGAGTGGCAACAGACTGTAGCCTGGGCTCGTTCCCGCCAGCCCTGGACCAGGAAGGCAGGGCCCGTCCTGTGCTCTGCTGTGCTGTCCTGTCCTGTCCTCACCCACACAGAGGATTATGTTTGGGCTGGGCCTCCCTTCCCACAGCTTCTCTGGCCCTCAAACAGACAGGCTCCCGAGCAGCCAAGGACTGACAAAAAGCACCATAGTACGGAAGGCCTGCTCCCCACACACTCCCACCCCTTCACGGCTTCCTAAGTAATTTCCTTGGGTGGGGTGGAGGGTTCCAATTAGCAGCATGCAACTCCCCACCCCTACTTTGGGTGAGCATCTATAAATATTTGCATGTACACGGGACTTTATTAGCAAGCCACAGAACCAGGCAGGGGAAATCACACATAATCTCTCATTAAGGGGCAATGTGACTAATGACGCATCAAATGAGTAACCACTGCTGCACTTAAATCCAAATTAAAAACACTGCTAGCTGCCGCCTAGACCCCTGGGCAGAACAAAATGCCTGTCTTCATCTCGGAAGGGAGGGCAGGAGCTGCAGACCCCTTGAGGTGCGGGCATGTGTCCTGGCTGAGCAGGCGGCCTTGCGGGAAGTCTGCCTGCCCTGACATCCTAGGGGGAGGTTGGGTCTCCCTCAGCCTGCTCCAGGCCGGAACAAGACTCCCAGGGCCCTGCAGTTGTGGTAGATAGCCCCGCATTCCTCCCTCTTGTCTGAGCATACAAGGGCTTTGAACCCCTTTTGCCTACTCCTAAGGCTTATGAGAGGCAGCATAGGGATTCTGAACTAGGAGTGAGGCGAACCAGGAGGCTTCGGGGTCCCTTTGCTCAGGCTTCTACCCAAGGCCAACACCTAACAGCACCCACTCAGTGCCTAGTGCAGACTCGCCATGTGACCTCTGGCTATGGCACCGGACCCAGCTGGGCCTCCAAACTGCCAGATTCCACTGCCTTCCTATTCCCAAGAACTTCTGCACATGGAGCCTTCGGTGGTGGGGGAGTCTCAGGCTGGAGAAACCCTGCCAAGCACTGTCAGAGGCAGGGTACTGGAGGAGGCTGCCAACCCCGTGGCCTGCCCACCTGAGATTCCTTTGCTGGGGAAGGTGGGTGGCCAGAGGCTGTGTGAGCCAGGGACCATGTCCTGGGCTGTGCTGAAGGGGGCATGTTTCACGTCTCCTTGCTCCTGGAGAATTTCATTCCCCAAAACGTGCCATGCCATCCCTAAGCAGCTCTCTATATCACAAGGCATTTGCAGAGAACATACCGGGGTGCAAGGCATGACAGCATGCCTCATGGATGCAGGCAGGCCTCTGGCCACTGCTCCTGCCGTGGATATGCACAGGACATGATAGTGAGACCTACCCTGGGTCTCCAGGTTAGGGGGGGTCAGGAAGCTCGGTCACAAGTTGCCACCTTTCCTGTCTCCTCCTCCCAGGTCTAATGACCTTCATCTATCATCCTTGGCCATAGGAGGAAGGGCTGATGGGTCACCAGAGCGTAATTAATGGTCTGGGTTACTTGGAGCCTCAGCAGCCTGAAAGCGTCACTCCGCCCAGAAACAAACAGCTCACCATCTCACTGGCGAGGCTGGAAGGAGGAGGAGGGCTGCAGGCGACAGAGGGAGGACTTCAGGTGGCAAGTGGAGGGCTGCAGGCAGCAGGGGGAGGACTGCAGGCATCAGGGGAGGACTCCAGGGCGGATGGAGGACTAGGTCGGCAGGGGAAGGGCTGCATCAGCAGGGGGAGGGCTGCAGGTGGCAGGGGGAGGACGGCAGGCAGCAGAGGGAAGGACTGCAGGCAGGCAGGACACAGGTCTCTAGGAAGCTGCTCTTCCAGGGGAGGCCAGGGCCAGACTGACCCCGGGCTCAGTGGCCAAATCCAGAGCAAAGCTCACAAGAATCCAAGTGGTCACTTGTATCGGGTGGAATTGCACAGAAGAGGAAGACAGGAGCAGAAGTCTCCAAAGAGTACCAGCTCTGCCGGGGCCTAGAGACACTTCTAGCCATGCACTGCACCAACCAGTCCATTTACACCACATAGAGCAGAGAAGGAAGATTTGGTGGGTCTGATACACCACTGCAGCAGTCAGCTGACCCAGAGCCTGGGCACTTCATAGTGACCTTGGCTGGGCATGGGCAGGCAGCCTCAGCCCCAGGCCCAGGTCATATTGCTGTTGACCAGTGTTTCTCGACTGGTGTACTCTGCCCCTGGGGACGTCTGGAGATGTCTAAGGTGTCTCTGGTTGTCACAACTGTGTGGTGAGTACAAGCCAAAGAGGTTTCCAAACATCCAACAATGAGAACCCAGGGGCTGAGATTTGGCCCCATGAACTTGACCTTTCCCTCCTGGGAGCCACAGCTGCACAGACCAGGCCGTGGCTCCACCATTCACTGGTGTCGCCTGCGCCAGCCCTGTAAGGCAAGGGTCCTGCCGCAGAGCTGGGGTGCTGGGGTGGTTTCAGAAGAAGGGCCAGGGGTGGAGGGGGTGGGGTTGCTGGGAGAAAGATATGATATTCCCACCAGCGCACAGGCTCCTGCTTCGGGACATCCAGTGGTAGGACAGTGAGAAAGGCTGGCCAAGGAATACCAGCGCTTCTAACACTGCAAAGCAGGAGTTAATGACAGCTCAGAAGGGGCGGTTCCCAAAAGGAATCTAAAGGCAGGACTGGTACATTCTGGAGATAGTCAGCTCCCAGGAAGGGATGAATGTGCAGAGGAGACACAGCAGACACAGCACACTGCACTTAGCGGCCCCCTGCCCCTCAGAGCCACTGCAAACACCCTCTTCCCCAGCAGCTCTACCTGCAGCCGGCTTCTCTGGCGGCCATAGGGGCGGGGCAGCTGAAAGGAAAGAAAACAGTATCACCCTGCCAGCCTATGCCATCTGCCTAGGCCCTTTCCTTGGATGTGGACTGGCCAAAGCCATGGCGCATCAGCTGGGCCTGGGTAGTTTTACCATACTCGGGGCCAGGATGGAGGATCCTAAAAGGCCTTTCCATGTTTAAGACAAGGGTGAAATGAGCACAGGGCCCAAGCCCGAAGCTTGAATACCCTCCTAGGGAAGGCAGCCTACTGAAGGGCCTAGGGACACCTCCAAGGCCTCAGCCAGTAGGAGACACCCAGTGATGCCAACTGAATCTGTTTTCTTTCTCTTTAATTTTAACTCATTGCCAGGCCATTAAGAACAAAGGGGCAGCTGCTTCGGCTGTCCACCCCCCAGACTTCTTTTCATTAGTATTCACATCAGGTAGTAAGGCCACTTCTGCCCAGCTGGCAACACCTCCCTGCAACCCCCCCCCCCGACCCCAGGCAATCTCATACTCCATATCCCACTGTCAAACCTGGGGAGGGACCACCAAGCCATGAGGCCTGTGACAGAGTGGCTCACCCACAGGATATCCAGATCCCCTCTACCATAGGGATTATCACACCCTTCCAGGTTCCCTATTGGTTCGCTGAGATATGAGAGAGAGAGAGAGAGAGAGAGAGAGAGAGAGAGAGAGAGAAGGAGGAGGAGGAAGGGAGAGGGAGGGAGAAAGAGGGGGGATAGGGAGAGAGAGAGAGAGAGGCCAGGAGGGGAGACATCAGAGGGATGTAGACTTAAAAGCATGGAAATCCCATGCTGGATGCTAAGTCTGAACAACTTGCGAGCTCCCTAGGCCTCTGCTTGCTATACACTCCCTGCAGTTAGGCAGGGGCTCTCGGGGGCTAGAGAGTGGCTCCCAACATGGCCCTCGCTTCCAGCCAGCCCACATCGCAGTTTTTCACAACTGCTCTTTGACTCTGTGAGTGAGGTATATGTCAGGTGTTACTGGTGGTCTTGTTTTACAGATAAGGACGCTGAGGCGGAGAGAGGGTAAACCGACTTGCCCAGTATCCTCCAGCAGATAGGTGGCAGTAGTGAGCCTCCTCTAGGTTGTGCTCAGCATGTGACTCTCAGTAGATGCTCCCTAAGCCTTCACTGCTGAGGCAAAGAGCAGAACGCCTGGACCCTCATCTGGCCACGTGGCTGCCCTGCCCTTCTGCTGACATCACCAACACCTCTGACTCTAAGGCGCAGAAGACAGAGCATTTTGCCTGAAGCCACAGGTTAACAAGGGGACAGAAATGGCTTAAACTCAGACCTGTCCCCCAACCCAGTTTCTGACGGTGCACACAAGGCTAATGGCATATGTATGCCAAACCGCCACCCGAGTCATGCAGTTAAGTCCCAACCCCTCCCCCAAACCCAACCTTAGGATTCGATCCCTTTGGAGGTAGGGGTCTTCACAAAGGTGAGCAAGTTAAAGCAAGATCATCAGGGTGGGCGCTCATCCAAGGTGCCTCGTGTCCTCATTAGAGAAATTAGGTCAAAGATGGAAAAGAATGCGGGGCGCGGGCGCAGTGCCTCGGGACAAGCCAACCCTGTTCACACCCTGACGTTCCACGCCCAGCCTCTTGGGCAAAGAATAAGTTTGGTTGCCTGTACATTTCTCCCCAATAAGGGCCCTTTTGTGTGGAATTAAAAGGACGTCCATGGCCGGAAGTTCTCCCCCGATTCAGGCTTCGAGTTCTCTACATGTGCCTGGCATAAACAGATCGTGCGCTGCATTTAGCAGCCCCGTGGTACCTGGCACTGTGTGGGAGAGCATGAAGGTTTTGGGATAGGGAAGGGCTAGGGTGCTTCACCCCAACAGCCACAGCCACATCTGCAGCCACCCCAGCCACCCCAGCCACCCCGCGGGCCCCCTGGCCTCAGTGAGCGAACACCCACCAGGGCCTCTGGCTTCCTTGCTCTTTTGTGAGGCTGCCGGCTACTGGAGGCTTCATTTATCAGCCCAGCAGGGGGCTAACAGAAGGCCCCAGCGTCACCCAGGGATCTGGCTGGGCATAGAGAATCTGTGGGAAAAATGATGCGAATGGGGCCCTGGGATGAATCATCTCGGAGGAAGCAGCTGTGTTGATGAAATTTTAAAGCCAACATGAGAAAGAAAATATGAACTGCACTACAGTAATTTAGCCTGTGAACACCCTGGCACATTTTTAATTAAAGCTATTTCGGAGTTAAATAGAGGCTGTGGGGGAGGGAAGGGGGAGGGGAAGACATGGGAAGGGTCAGGGGAGACTCTCTGGCCTCCCACTCAAACCCCAAGGACACATCACCTTACAATACAATATTGCTGAGAGTGCCCCTCACTCCTGCTTTTCCCCAGTGGGCAATTTCTGTGCTTTGTGAGGAGCTGGGGGTTTCAGCTGGATATGATTTCATGACAGAATCATGAAATTCCACAAATCAGAGCCTCCAGGCTGAGGAGTGAGGGCGACTATCCCGCTCTCATTGTTTCCTTCCTTGAGATGCCCGAACCCAGTCCCGCAGCCACAGCGTGGTGGCTCATGCCTGACAGCCCTTCCTGAGTCTGGGTGAGGACCAGCCTCCCCTGCTGGGCCTAGGAGAATGAGTGGGGAGCAGCTGGGGCTTCCCAGGCTTATGCACAGCTCAGTCGTGGCAGGTGATAGAGATGTGGATGAGGCCTCTGAGGTTCTGTGACCCCATTCCTCAGGTAGCTGGCAGTCAGGTAAGAGCAGGGACGGGAATCCACAGGAACGAACATGACAGACAGCCCAGGGCCAAGAAAGCTCAGAGCAAGTGCAGACACACCTAGAGGTTTGCACGGAGGAAGGTAGATCCAATCCTTGCAGAGGGATGGGACCAGGGCAGGGCTGGCCACTGCCCAGGCCTTAAGGTTCAGCCCTCTGAGCAGGAGATGTGAGGCAAGTGGACACAGCTATGGGTGGGGAGGGCCTCCTTGTGGGACAATATAGCTGCCCTAGGGAGGAAGGGAAGAAGGAAGGAAGGAAGGAAGGGAGGGAGGGAGGGAGGGAGGGAGGGAGGGAAGAAACTGTTATGCCATGGCTTTTACATTCACCTATTTACAAGTCCATGGCTTGCTCCAACATTTGAAACTGCGGTACAGGTTCCCAGTGGGACAAAGCGGCCCGAAGAGCAGAGACAGAAGTTAAAGCACAACCCCAATCCCTGTAGAAACAGGTACATGAGTCGTTCTCTGACTAGACAGTGGAGCGCACTTCCTGGGGAAAGGACAGTGAGAGCAGCACCCTGAACCTGAAGGGAGCAAAGGGCAGACTGAGGCCGATGCTGACCATAAACCATGCAGCCTGAGCTGGGGCCTCGAATGTGATGCCAGCCTTCACTCAGCAAGGACCGGCCCATCCCGCAGGAGCGAGCCGTGCAGGGAACAGCTCCCTTTCCTCCAGGCTGGATGCGGCCCTTCTCTAAGGCAGATGATGCCCTTTCGGCTTCCCAGCACTGCTGGCACCACTGCTCCTGGCAGTACCGCTTGCCACCACATGCAGCCCAGGCTCCCAGGAAGCAGTGTGCTTGGGTCCAGGGAGTCCTGCCCCACCAGGAGAGACTAGTCCCAGCAGGGTGGCCTGTGAAGGTGACAAGTGGGATTAAGTTAGCTGTTGGGATGTAAGCCCCCCCCCCCAAGAGCCACCAGTGGGCAGAGGAGGTCATGATCTTTCTGTGCAGGCCAGCGGGCAGGTAAATGGCAAGAGTGGCAGACATCTGAGCTATTTCCAGGGCTGTTTCGTCCTGGGATGGCCACTTATGTTATACTAGCAGGAGAGGGAGAGGCAGGGTTGAATCCAGGAAGGGGGGGCTGGTGGGACTGGTCAAGCTGGCTGGGCCCAGACACCCTAATCAGAGCATACCAGCCTTTCATCACCATCTCTACCAACAAGCAGAGATGGTTAATTGGCCCCTCCATGTCCAGTCCCAGTCCACAAGAGGCTCGATGCCCTTTTATAAGACACCTCCAACAGCCACTACCAAGTCCCTCACCAGCCATTCTAATGCCGCTCTCTCTGCATGGACCCACAACCCCAACTGTTAGGCCCAGGATCGGGAAGGTGGACCTAGTGAGGAACTGGCCAGCAGGGGGTAAGGGCTCCAAATGGGTCTGCCTCCATGCAGTGGTCAACTCCATTGGCAGTGGGCCTAATGCCAGCCACCTGGGAGCTTGCAGACAGCATCAGTCAGCGTGGCTGGCAGACCTGGCCACCCTACAGCTTGGCTTAGATGAGGAGCAGGCCTGTAACCAGGCATTCTGGGAGACAGCTGGAGAAGCAGCAAGGGTAGAGAAGCTGGAGATGGGATGGCCTCTAAAGCAGTGGCCATTGGGGTACAGAGCCAAAGCCCTTGTAGTTCACTTACCTGCGGGGGGAGCTTGTCACCCTCCAACAGCTTCACCTTGGTGTCCAGTGGCCTGATGTAGGTGGATGAGGGATCTGAAGGACAGAGAGGAAGAAGGTGCATTAGCCACCAGGGGACTCGGCCCTTGGGCAGACCCTACCCGACGCCGACGCTCCCTCCATGCGGTCCCGGAAATCTGGTTTCCCCAGTGATGATGGTGTGTTTCCTGGGGTGGTGGGGGTGAGAGAGCAGAGGGTTTGATCCCTTCTGATTCCAAGGAGTCTCAGGCCCAAAAGTAGTTGGCATAAATATCTGCAGCCAAAGATGGCCTGCCCAGGGCCCAGAGTCCAGGAGGCCCCTCTCTCCGCTGCAGTGGGGAGACTGAGACGGTGGCAAACGTGACAGTCAGCATGCTGGGAGTGGGTAGAGAGTGTGTCTGTGTGGGTCTGGGTGGGTGTCTCCAGAGATGACTGACAGGTAGAGCGCAACCGAGGTGGGAAAGACCCACCCCGAGTGTGGGCACCACCACCCAACAGGCTAACCGCGGGCTCGGGCTTCAAGTGGAACAAAAGTGGAAGAAAAGTCTACTACCCTCAGCTCGGCTATGTGCTCCATCCTGCTCCTCTTCCACCTCCCCACCCCACCCCCACCCAAGGAGAACGCCTGTGACCCCAGACAACTCCACTTGTAACACACATCCTAGAAAACGATGACCACCCGCCCTCACCACGCTACCCCACCCCCCCTTTTTTTTAATCCCCTCAGAAAAACAGACCAAAAAATTTCACTGCGTGCCAGCCCCATTCTGCTGTCCCCGTGTCTGGCTGCCCCACGGCCCCTGTCTTCCTCCCCAGCCCTGCAGAGCGACAGACCAACGATCTTCAGCAGCAGTGGAAGGCACCTGACTTGATGGAGTCAAAGAACGGAATTCAGGGAGGGAAGAAACAAGCAGGGAATGGGGACTGCAAGGCCTGCGCCAAGCACCCTGTGAGGCTGCAGATATGGGACACCTCACAGCTAACCACTCGAGACCTCTTGCTAGAGGCCACAGGGCTAAGCGGCCAGCTGGGACTCTGTCCACCGGCTCAGTGGGTCATCACCTGTATCCTCACTCCCAAAAAACATGGGGTCTCCCAGGTTCTTCACACTCTAACTCTTAATCTCAGGAGGCCGGGACAGCAGTCTTTTGAGCAAAGGCAGCTACTGAGTCCACCTCAGGGGGCTTGTGCTTGGGGAATAGACCCCATGGGCTTCTGTAATTCTTAGGTGGGCAGAGAAGGCTTGGGATCTGCCGAGGACAGGACAGGCACGCCACTTCAATTATGGGGACAATGAGGCATCTGTCCATTCCAGCATGAGGCCAGCATGACCCCAGGGAAGCCCACCCTTGACGTCCTCATGCCTGACATCGCTGTCTTGCCCCTCTCCTCCACCCCTCTCCACAGGACCTGATAAGGAACAGATGTGGAGCCCACGGCCGCCCATCAGGAACTTACATCCTCAGGAATGGCTAGGCCCACACAGGTGGGCCCTGGCCTGCCTGCTAAGGGGCACTTTGTTCTCTGGAGTGATACCTAAAGAACCTTCCGGATTCCCCACACACTCAGCCTAGGTCGACAGGGACCAGGAGAGCATCTGGTACAGCCTAGTATTGGAAAAAGTATGGGAACAAGGGTGCATGGAGCAAGGCCCAACCCACTCAGGGCTGGGAACAAAAAGCTGGAGCCTCCCTCCTCCTCATTCACAATAGTCACCTCTTAGGAATGCGGAGCCTTTTATAGAGGAGAGGCGGGCAGCTCCCCGGTAAGGCCTGGCCAGCCCCTCCTCAGGAATGACGACAGTACCGGGCACAGGGTGGCTCCGGTGGGGTAATGCTGCCTTGGGGCCCAGCCTCATCACATAGCTCCACGCAACAGCTAGCGAGCTTCCAAGAACTCAAGGGATAGGTCCCGCACACGCTTCGGGGAAGCGCAAGAGATGTAAGTCAAATAACCCAAGACTTGGACTCTGCCAGTCTCTCCACGCAGGCCCTGCCTATAGCCCCGCCCCCATGAGGACTCTGGTCAGCCACAGAGGCTGCAGCGGTTCACTCATGCCCAAGAGCAACTCCCACACTGACTCCACACACAGGCATGATGGGAGAGTGCTCCACATTCAGGGTGTGTTGGGTCTCTCTGAAAGCGGAAAGGCAGACGCGGCGGTTCGAATGGGACTCCCTAGACTTTTGGGCGGCCCTGTCAAGGGTGGTCTTCTGGGACGCCTGCTGTGCAGCAATGGGTCAGTACATTCCGAAACCACACACCCACTCCCCACCCACACCCGTTAGGGCCAGGGATGTGGCTCAGTTGGTAGAGCACCCGCCTACGATGCATGAGGTCCCGGGTCCGGTCCCCAGCACTGCACAGACTGTGTGTGTGGTGGCACATGTCTGTAATCCCAACACTCGAGGTGATCAAGGTCATACTTGGATACACGGAGATCTTGAAGCCAACCCAAACTACGATAAACTCTATAAGTTTAAAAAGAAAGAACGAAAAAGACAGCAGGGTGTGGTGGCGCACACCTGGAACCCCAGCACTTGGGGAGGCAGAGGCAGGTGGATCTCTGTGAGTTCAGGGCTAACCTGGTCCACAAAGTCCAGGACAGGCAAGGGTACACAGACAAAAACCCTGTCTCGGGGAAAAGAAAAAAGCACTAGCCCCATTCTGCAGGCCAGCCTTTGGAGAGGAGCTGGCTTACGCAGAGACATGCACATTCCTACACAGCTCTCCTCCAGGTCCCCTGCTCCAGTAGTTCCCTGGCAGGGCTGCCCGCACGAAGTGCACACACCTGCCCTCCCCCATGCACATGCGCACACATACATACACACACACACACACACACACACACACACACACACACACACATTTACTTATGCCATTTCTAGCCAATTTTCATGTAATTCTAGAGCAAGAAAAGATTTTCCTTTTAAATTAGAATAGTATGTTCTCGCCTCTTGCCCCCCTCCCCCCACACCAGTCACTTAACTTGAAGTTCTCCAAACCAGTTCTCCAAACCACACACAGTGCCAGGCAGCTGGCCCCTGGGACCCCCTGGGTCAGGAGTGGAGAGGAAGAAGGGGAGAAGGGGGGCTTTCCCGGCTGGGGCTGCTGGGCTGCACCCTCCTCCCAGAGGAGGCTCCTATTTCTCACTGCCCCAAACCTCACTCGTGAGCTCATCAGGTGCCTCCCAGGCTCCGGGAGATGAGCGGGTAATTAAATTAATCCCAGGGCCCCACAGTAATGAGGGCTAGGCCACAAGGGAGAGAAACGCCACTTCCCACCTAAGCTGCTTGCAGGCAAAACGAAGGAAGTGATCCCATGAGAGGCCTGTGACAGCCGGCTAAGGTGTTTTCTGAGACCCACCCAATCCTCCTGGCACCCATCAGTCCAGTTCTGGGAGGGTCACAGTCCAGCTGCGGGACAGCTCACCCTGCTCCTCCCTCCTCAGGCATCCTCTGCTCCCCAGGGAGCCTGTGGGCAGACCTCCTGGTGGGCACTGTTCTGGCTCTGTCTCCAGAGCCCTGAGCTTGTCCTACTAGTGACCCTTGAGTCACAGGCCTGCTTAAGGCCTGGAAGAAGAGACTAGATCACATGACCCATATAATCTGTGTTCCCTTCCTGGCAAGATGGTGCCACTGAAGAATCTTCTCCAGCCTTCTCCTCCTAGCTCTGAGGCCACGGCCCCCGCTGTCCGCAGCAGCAGCCACAGCTCTCAGAAGCAATGGGACCCAACAGCTGGCACCTACAAGAAGGAGCCAGCGCAGGAACTTCCCACTACTGTTTAGCTGCTGAATCTCCAAAGCAGTCATCAAGTCAAGAACTGAAGTCAAGCTGGGTGGGGTGGGGGAATTAATCTAGGGAGTGATTCCAGGAAGCCTGGGGAAGTAGAGAAGCAGGAGACAGAAGAAGCCAGCTAAAGGGCAGCGAGGTCAGCCTGTGCACCAAGGGCTCCAAGGGCCAGGGAGGGAGCACTAAGCACCGCCCACTTAGAGGGGGTTGGGGTGGGTCAGGCTACCTGATGCTCCCACACAGAAAGCCTCAGGAGGGGCAGGGAGCTCAGAGGCTGTGAGGGCCTGAGGAGATGGGCTGAGTGCCAACAGGGCCTGCTGTGGCTGAGGGTGGGGAGCAAGAGGTTCAGCTGCTGCCTCCTCCCTGGGTTCCCCACCAGCGCTGCCTCTCTTAAAATCCCCTCCTCCTGAGCAAGGTCCCAGCATCTCGCTTCCCTGACTTTGTCACTGCCTGCAAGGTCTGGGGACAACTAGGGAACAACTAGGCAGATCATTGGCAGGTGACCTAGGTACACGGAGCTTCTGGCCCCCAGCCGCCACCATGGGCTTCTGGAAACTTTTAGAAAGGACTTGTGCCATTCATAAGTCCTTCCCTCTCTGGCCTGGCAGGAGAAAGGCCACTTCTGAGAGTGTCTTCCCCCAAGAAGCGGATTCGTGCATCCTTCTTCTCTCTTCCTCCCAGCCCTGAACTCACCTTCGCCACATATACCCGGCATGAACAAGTGTGCAGCAGGAAGGCTGCAGGAGAAAAGCCTGCCACACCCCAACATACAGCCAGAGTGGGTCATGGAGAGTAAGGAGGGCAGGCCTCGGAGGTGAACATCCAGACTGCTACCACAGATCGACCATACCCTCACCTGAGCTCCCCACCTCCTTTACTGGACGCCTCTCTCCCAGCATTTGCAAATCCACTCTTTGCACAGGTCCCCTCAGACCCCGCACAGCACAGGGAGGCATCATCCCCTTCATGGAGTCCACCAACGAAGCCGAGGGTAGTGTAGGCAGGACAGGGCCAGTGAGAACAGGCCCCAGGCTCTCTTCCCAGGGCTCTTGGGACCCCAGCTACAGAAGCGCCAAGCACCAGGGTCACCATCAAATAGGACCTTTCGAGCAAGCACCAGCAATGACCACATGTGCTTACGGGGTGACAGTCATAGGCCTCGAGAACACCAGTCCCCGTTTCTCATTGTTATCAGATACCCCAGCTTACAGATAAAGGAACGGGCGCTCAGGAGGGAGACAGGAGACCACGGGCCCTGGGAGCAG